AAGTGAATTCACGAAGAATCTCTGATCGGATGTGATGATAGAAGGTCCAGGAACATGGATAACCGTTGAGTTGAACATAGTCTCCTGGGATGTCGTAATACTTTTCCTCCATCCAGTCATTAATCTTAAAGACTTTCCAATTAATCTTTTTCTGCACTTCTTCGTTTATGGTTGGAAGGGTTAGTTTGAAGATCTGGGACAAGATGTTAGCCATGGACGGTAAGATATAAGCTTGTCGTTTATTCAACCGCGCCAGGGCAAATAATGTAGCATACTGTCCCATGCAATTGCCAAACCGTCCATCTGGCAGAAATATCCACATGCCTTTGGAAGACCTGATGGCTTTGGAAGTCTCACAGCTTTCATCTCTGTGACATTCGCAGGCTTCACTGGTCTCTCTTGACGGGTCAGAAACGTTCTTGTCTTTTACAAATGCAAATTTCTCGTTCAGTCTGTACCTAAACACATAACTAAACGTTGCGTACAGAATCAGAACCGAATCCAGCAACAGCATCATAAAGCACAGCTTTCTCCAGGTGAATAAACTAGCAAATCGATCGTTCAAATTGTTCATCTTAACCGTCTTCTGAACCGATCTGGTTACGTCTCCAGTTTGGGCAAGAACCATTCGAGTCCTAAAAAACATAGAGGCCGAGAGCAGAAAACATAAGATACACTTCACTTTCTTTCACTGCAGCAGTTTTACTTATATGAATCGTCTCCTTCAGAGCACGTCTCAAGACCCTCCTCTTTGAGACGTCTAGAAGACGTGATAAAACATTGTACCAAATGCAAGGATTATTATTTATTATTATTATAATTGACCTATGAAATACATAGTCAATCCACTTTGCGATACATTCTGTGAAGCACTTCGATATGCCTCAGTGAAGTGATAAGGCGCTATATCAAATGCAAGGTTTATTATTATAATAATTGGTTTTAAACGCCTGAGGATTTTCAGGAAGAAGGGAGGCTGAGAGAGGGAAAGAGTAATGTAATCATGAGATCTGCGGAGAAAATTGGCAAACAGACCAGGATATACAATTTAATCAAAAATTCCGAACAATGGTGAATAGCTAAGACTTATCAATGTGATTTTCATGAAAGATCACTATTGTTTATGACCAGCCTGTAATGGATCCATTGTTTCCAAATACCGCAGTTATAATAATAATCCTTGCATTTAATATAGCGCCGTATCACGTCTTCGAGTTGTGGCAGCAAATTGAGCACAGCAGTGTCCCACAAACAGTCCTGGATTGAGTGACCACATTTTTTGGGGGGGATTATTATCCCTAGTAAGCGATCCGCCAATCGACGAACAACCGGATTCTTGTTACGGTTAGGTCAGCAGAGGCGTGTGGAATAAAGAAACTTTGCGAAGGACTTTGGGATGTCACTTAAAATGATAATCGCTACATCAAACGCAAGGATTATTGTTATTTTTAAAAGCATTGGTTCACAACTGGATTTCGCTATCGACAGTGCTGAGTCGTTAATGGAAAATTCTGTGCTTAAATGGATGACTCTCAGCGTTCCTCCTACAAAATTGGAGCAGTATTTTGTCCGTGGAGAGAAGGTAATCCGGTGACATAGTGTTCAAAATTATGAGGGCGTTTGGTAGAGTAGACAGATAGGGAGAACTGTGCCCTCTGACGGGTGGGTCGGTAACCAGAGGACACAGATTGAAGATAATTGGCAAAGGAACTAGAGGGGAGACGAGGAGAATTTTTGTTTTACCCAGCGAGTGGTTATGCTGTGGAATGCATCCCCTGAAACTCACTTCCAAAAGGGAAATGAATAAGTACTTGAAAGGGAAACATTTGCAAGACTAAGGGGAACGAGCGGGGGAGTGGGACTAATCGGAGAGCTCTTTCAAAGAGCGGCACAGGCACGACGGGCTGAATGGCCTATAATAAAAATAATCCTTGCAATTGATATAGCGTCTTATCACGTCTTCGAGATGTCTCAAAGTGCTTCACAGAATATACTGTCAAGTGAACTGACTGTATATTTTGTGGGCAAAACGCAGCAGCCAATTGCGCACAGCAGCGTCCCACAAACAGTCGTGGATTGAGCGACCAAATTTTTTGTTTTAAGGAAATTATTACCCCCGGAAATGCGATCCACCAATCGACTAACAACCGGGTTCCCACTTACTGCTGGGTAAGCAGAGGTGTGTGGAGTAAGGAAACTTGCCCAACGTTTCGCCCCGTCGGGATACAAACCCGGGTCTCGTGCTGGCGAGGCGAGTGCTCTAACCACTTTGCGCTGTAGGATTCTATGATTCTATTGTAATAACTGCTCCTAACCGTTGACTGGCAATCTGTGCATGAGGTCTACACTGGACGAGAACAGGAATAGGCTTGGTTTCAATGCCCCGAGACATGGAGCACACAATTTGCTAACTTACATTCCAGTTCCCCCCCCCCGACCCAACCCACCCCAATATCTATTCGTTTTGATTATGACAAAAGCAAAGAACAGGAAACATGAGAAGAATCCTTCCTACCCGCACAGAAATGTGTTCAGAAGAAGAGCTGGTGCCAGTAGGGAAGCGGAGGCTAATTTGAGTCCATGGAGGTTTGAGAGGTTGGAAAAAGTAGTGTCAGGGTCAGGAATGTGCTTAGCTGTGCTGTGTGCTCCCGAACACTGCTGGGTTGGTTCAGGACGTGTAGGTGCAAGTCATTTTCTGTCTGAAATATATTCGAACTTATTGTGATGTGCAGTGGAGTGCAGTGACCTTTACAAACTGCGTAGCCCTATCAGGTGAAAACTCTCTGCGGTGGTTCAAATATGATTTGGCTAAGGCTAACTTAGTTGTTACAATCGCTGGCAGCAACAGAATCTAATGAACCTAATTACGTGGGAAATCTCAGAGGCCGAAAGAGTTAGCTTCAGGTTCCTCTCTGATGACTTCTTGGCGAGTTGAAGTATTAAAGCACGAGTCATGGACTCCAGGTCAAATCTCCCATTTTTAACAATTACTTTCATTTTGAATACAGTAGAAGCCGTCTAAACCAGACACTGACGTAAGTATCAGTTGGGATCATGCATGTAATATGAATTATTGCAAAAGTATGAGTTATGTCAACTTTGCAGAGAATATAAACTCTCGAATGGGACTTGGGCACATGTACGACTTAGGTGATTATAAAATTTATACACGATCCAACTTATTATAATAATAATCCTTGGATTTGATACAGCGCCTTATCATGTCTTCGAGACGTCTCAAAGCGCTTCACAGAATATACTGTAAAGTGCAGTGACTGTGTATTTTGTGGGTGAAACGCGGTAGCCAATTGCGCACAGCAGTATCCCACAAACAGTCTTGGATTGAGTGACCACATTATTATTATTATTTTCTTTGGAAGGGATTATTACCCCCGGAAAAGCGATCCGCCAATCGACTAACAACGAGGTTCCTACTTATGAGTTTTACTGTACTTTTTTTTTGCACTGTCTGTCATTTCCAAAAATTACTTTTGTGAGAGCTTTGTTCGTGAGCTGTAACTGCCTCTGGTTACACTGTGAAGTTAAGCCACTTCTTATAAGAATGTGCCATCTACTGTGGTATCAGCAAACTACAGCATTGATTTACATCACGGACATCATGAAGCTTCTTGGACATTTTTGCACAGGGGGACCCTACAGAACTTCACAGATCCTTGGTGTTCAGGATCAGCAGGTTGTTTGACTCACCAGATATCTCATCATCCTCATCCTCATCTTCAGAATCTTCATTTTATTCCTTGTAACATGACGCTAGTGTCCAAGAAATATTAATTGTATACTATTTTTCCAAATCGTATAAAAATCTGTAACCACAGAAAGTCAATTTTTTAAATTCAGTATAAGGAAGTAAATGCTGTTCTTTCCAGGGTCTACGTTTAAAACAATGGAAATCCCAGGAACTGCTCATGAAGAACCACCGCACACATTGTATTGTGCAGAATCCTTGTTTTAATCCGTCGGGGCGAAACATTAAACAAGTTCCGTTACCTCATACGCCTGTTTACCGAGCAGTGATTAGGAATCCGGTTGTTAGTTGATTGGCGGATCGCTTTTCCGAGGCTAATAATCCGTTCAAAAATAAATAAGTATATAAATCATAACAATAAGTTGGTCACTTCAATCCACGACTGTTTGTGGGACACTGCTGTGCGCAATTGGCTGTTGAGTTTCGCCCACAAAATATACAGTCAATTCACTTCACAGTATATCCTGTGAAGCGCTTTGAGACGTCGCAAAGAGGTGATAAGGCGCTACATCAAATGCAAGGATTATTATTATCAATTACAACCGGACAGAACTGCTGAAAAGGGAAATGTAATAAAGCAGAGGTCTGAGAGCAGGTCATTCATTTATTCTCTGACCATATTTTTTGGGGGTCAGCCGGGTGTCTGACACATGTGGAAACCGATCAACCGTGCTTAGGAGTATCCAAACCAAACTGAGAATTCCATGCGTCCCATCTGCACATGGAAATCCCAGAGATGCGCTCTCTTTCTCCCTGGAAGGGTACATCCTGCTTACCTAACTCTGGAGAGTAATAAGCACAGGTTGGCAAGAGCCAAGGGTTCCCAGAGTGCGCATTGGGGGTAACTGCTGAAGATTATCCTCTAGCCAAACGGACAGGAGAGAAAATAGAGAGGGTTTTGTTGCCTCAAAAAAAAACAAATCAGTAAATTGACAGAACTGACCTTGCAAATAATATCTTATCTTAGTTTGCGGTCATGTGTTTATTCAGGGAAAAGCGCACGAGGAGCAAAGTGTTATGCCACCACCTGTTTCTGCTTAACCATCTCCCATGCGCGGCAAGTAAATGCTGACCATCTTAAGGTGGGAACCCCACAGCAGGTACACAAATGGCACAAGAATCGGTACTTGAGCATTTAAATTGAGGCAATCATTCATTTAGTGATTGTGCTGGATAAGCGACCCTTTAAAACGGATCGAGGAGGGACTTTATTTTCAGTTGTTTCACGGCGAAAATGAGGGCATTTTTGATCCTCAGCGCAGTCCTTGTGGCTGTCTGCAGTCAGAAGACGTTTCACGGGTAACTTTTCTTCCTGCGCCGAAGGGTCGCGTTTCAAAAGTTGCAGTGGAGTTCTGTCGGGTAGTGGTTAGAGCGCTCGCCTCGCAAGCGAGAGGACCCGGGTTTGATTCCCGGACAGGGTGAAACCTTAGGCAAGTTTTGTTACTCTGTTTACCTCCCAGTAGGTAGGAACGCGGTTGTTAATCGATTGGTGGATCGCTTTCCGGGGGTTAGTAATCCGTTTTTAAAAAAAATGTTTGTCACTCAATCCACGACTGTTTGTGGGACGCCTCTGTGTAATTGGCTGCCGTGTTTCGCCCACAAATATACAGTCAATTCCCTTCACAGTATATTCTGAGAAGTGCTTTGAGAAGCCTCAACGACGTGGTAAGGCGCTGCATCAAATGTAAGGATTATTATTTCAGTCAAAATGGTTGTGGTGGGGGGGGGGGGGGGGGGGAGGGGTTTGTAGGGCAGAAAAGTTGTATTTTTTTATTAAGTTGAAAATAATTGTTGGCGAGGATATTCTGCTTTTAAAATATGAAACTCCATTCCCTCCCGTTAATATTCAGGCAAAGTAGAGTGGAGCATTCCTGACATCTTTGTGATGCGTTGTCACAAAGTTATAATTCATAACGAGCATCAGGAAAATTATCAGGACAACAAGCACTGCTGTGGATTGAGACGTTCTCAAAATTCTCCTTATCTATCACCCCCCCACCCACCCACCCCAAGCTCTCCCCCACCTTCATCCCCGACATCGCCACCCTCCTATCTTCCCACTCCCTTTGCTCCGAACGCCTTTTCATCCTTAACGACTTCAACCTTCACCTCACTCCCTCCTGTTCTACCTCTGCTGACTTCTCCTCTATTATCTCCTCCCTCAGCCTTTCCTTCCACATCCACTCTGCCACCCACGTCTGCGGTCACCTCCTCGACCTGGTGATCACTCGGGGCCTCACCGGCTTGGACCTCACCATCATCAACAAAGTAATCTTGGACCATCACTTCATCTCCCTTAATTCCTCAATCCCTCTCCCCACCGGCACCCAACCCACCTCCATCTCCTTCAACCCCTGAGGGAAAATCTCCCCCTCCCTCCCTCTCGGCTGCCTTGGAGTCATCTGAATTCCTTCCCTCTGGGCTTCCGCCCTCAATGACCTATTCTCCTCGGTCACTCTTCTCCACCTCTCCTCCACTCTCGATTCCCTTGCTTTTCCCTCGTTTCCTGAACCGTCTCCTACTCACGTAAGTCACCATGGTACACCAGCCATCGCCACGCCCTTGAAGCACAGGTGTGTGCCGCTGAACGCACCTGACTTAAATCGAACTCAACGGTCCATTGGCAGATTTGGCTGGACCTTATCAAATCCTACCGCTCCGCCCTCGCCTCCGCTAAATTGTCATTCTACTCCAAGCAATCTTGGAGGCCAAGGACAATCCCAGGCTCCTCTTCTCCATCACCAACTGGCTCCTCCGCCCACCCTCTCACCCCTTGACCACCCTCATCTCCAATGCCAACTGCGAGGCAATGCTGCACTTCCTCGAATCCAAAGTTGAAGGCATCGCTCAGCTGCCACTGCCCTCCCGTCTAGTACACCTTCCCCATCACCTGCTCCCACCCCGGCTCCTATCCATTCCTCCCTCCTCACCTTCGAACCTGTCTCCCACTCCTCTCTCACCACCACTATAACCCGCATGAAACCGACCACCTGCTCCCCATCCCTACCCCTCTCCTTACCTCCCAGCTTCACCTCCTTGCCCCTCTACTCACTGACATCATAAACCTCTCCCTGTCCACTGGTATTGTTCCCACCCCATTAAAAACAGCCGTCATCACTCCAATCCTCAAAAAACTCTCCCTGGACCCAGCTGTGCTCTCAAACTACCGCTCCATCTCCAACCTCCCGTTCCTCTCGAAGGTCCTGGAATGAGTTGTTGCTTCCTGGGTTCGCTCCTTCCTCTCCCGCCACTCCCTCACAACCTCCTCCAAGCCCGTGTCCTCTCCCACACCAGACTCCATGACCCTATAACCCCCAACCTCGCCCCCTCCCTTGCCTTCTTCAAAACCCATCTCAAGATCCTCCTCTTTGACCGTGCTTTCGATCATCCTGACTCTTGTACAACATGATAATGTTGTGTCTCACTCACAGAGCATGGCCCATTACTCCCTGAAATGTTATAATAATAATAATACTAATAATAATAACTCTTGCATTTGATAAGTCGTTGCCTTATCACATCGTTGAGACGTCTCAAAACTTCACAGAATATATTGCAAAGTGGATTGGCAGTGTATTTTGCGGGCGAAACATTGATGTGAAACAGTGTACACTACTCGGCCCTCATTATCAGTGTATGTTTTATTGTTTAAGATCCTACATATATTTTGATACGCCCCCTCCCTCCCCCCAATGATCAGTCTCTCCCACTCCCAGCTCAGGCACCCTGTTGGTTCTGTGCAGCACTTTGAGATGAGAGATCCTCTCGCAGTGAAGGGTGTATAGAAATGTAAAACAATTATTGTTGGTGATTTGTGTGTTTTTTCTCCTGTTTACATTTTCCACAGGGACCAGGTGCTTCGAGTCACTGCCAAAAATGAGGCGGAAGTTGCCATCGTGAGGTCCCTCGGGGAAAAGAAACATCTCCATGTAAGTCATCATGGTTTTTTGGTCAGCCTGTTGGGCAATTTTCCATATCCACACGTCACTATTTACCGAACAGTAAGTAAGAACCCGGTTGTTAGTCGATTGCTGGATTGCTTTTCCGGAGGTAATAATTCCTTAAAATAATAATAGTAGTAATAATAATTAGGCGCAGGTTGACAAGAGCCAAGGCTTGGGGAGTCTAGAGTGTGTGTTGGGGTGAATGCTGGAGTCTAACCAGCTAAAAGCTTGCCATTGATATCACTATCTGGCAAGCTACACAAGTAACTGTGGCACCATCAATAATGGATTAGGGATGTACCTGGAATTCAAAATGATTACTGCTGTGGATTGGACAGGGAATGGGGTGAGGAGTGAAATAAATGCTTATTTTATCTCAAACCTGGGCTGCAGATCTGTTTCTATAATATTGAACGGCCAAAAGACCGAATGGCCTTCTTCTTCAGGCGCTGACAGCATCAGCATCCAAGATTGCACTCTCCACCTCTCAAAGCCGGTCAGGAACCTCGGGGTTCTGTTCGACCCTGAGCTGTCCTTTCTCCCTCATATCCGCGCCACAACTGGCACCGCCTTCCATCACCTCTGGAACATCGCCAAACTACGGCACTACCTCACCCCTCACGCTGCTGAAACTCTGGTCCACGCCTTTATCACCTCAAGGCTGGACTATGGGAACTCTCTCCTCGCCGGCCTTCCTGGCCCTCCCTCCACAAGCTGCAGGTCATTCAGAACTCTGCAGCTCATGTACTGTCCCGCACCAGACACCGCGACCACATCACTCCCACCCTCGCTCACCTCCACTGGCTCCCCATCCCCCAGAGGGTCGAATTCAAGATCCTCATTCTCACCTACAAGGCCATTCACGGCCTCGCTCCCCCCTACCTGTCCGACCTACTATCCCCCTACTTACCTGCCCGTACCCTCCGTTCCTCTGGCTCCGGTCTGCTCCACATCCCCCGCCCCAACCGCTCTACCATCGGTGGCCGGGCCTTCAGCCTCTCAGCCCCGAGGCTCTGGAACTCTATCCCCCAGTGCCTTCGCCGCTTCCTCCCTTTCCTCCTTCAAGGCCGGTCTCAAGACCTTTCTCTTTGACTGTGCCTTCAGCTCCCCTCTCAACTCTCTACCCCCTCCTCGCTCCCTCCCTTCCCTCCCCTCACCCTGACCATTTCCCCCCAATGCTCGGGTCCTGACCCAACTGTACAGACCCTTGGGACGTCCTCCCGACGTGAAAGGTGCTCTATAAATGGAATCTTGTTGTTGTTGTTGTTCTGTGCTGTACATAAACTCATGCAATCTCAAAGCTTCTTTACTGTTGCAATGGCTCCGTTGAAGTCACCTATCTACTAATTCTTGTTTTGGCACCTGAGGTGTCTAGCGATTTGCTGGAAATATAGTCACAAATATAGATTATAGTCTACAGAACGTTAACTGATTCTATCTGATTAAGCACAAGTTACAAATCCTTCCAATGCCCTGGCACCTCCCTACCTCTCTGACCTGCTTTCTCCCCACTGCCACCGCTCAGCCGACTTTGACCTCCTACTAGTCCCTCGTCCCCTCCTCCGCTCCACCATCTGTGGCTGCACTTTCAGCCACTACACCCTGAACTACACCCCGAACCTGTGAAACCCTCTCGTCCCAATCCCTCCACCTTGCCCCCTCCTTCTCCTTTTTAGATCACGACTGAAGACCTGCCTCTTTGACTGTGCTTCCGGTTACCTCCTCCCTCCCTCTGCCCCACCCCAGGCTCCTCCACTGTTAAGCGCTCTGAGGCACTGCCCTGTGTGAAGGGCGCTATATAAATGTAAGTTGTTGTTGAGTTTACCTGCTATAATGTTTTCAATCATTAGGTTGATTTCTGGTCAGAACCTCGCAGAGCTTTGCTGCCCATTGATGTCCATGTCTCCGGAGAACACATCCAAGCAGCGAAAGCCTTTCTGGAGCTCAATGGTCTTAGCTACTCAGTCCTGATTGAAGATCTCCAGGTGCAGTACAGTATTTCCTTTCAACTGGTGTGAGTTGTGCCTCGTTGTATATTTACCTCTATTTGGGCATTGCTCCTCAATCAGCATCAACTAGTTTACACAGCAAAATAATAACTTATGCTACTTTGCGAGTTATTGACCACCAACAGCGGTCGGGCCTTCAGCCTCTCTGCCGCCACTCTCTGGAATTTCATCCCACAGTCCCTTCACTTCCCTCCCTCCATCCCTCACCTCCTGTAAGGCCAGTCTCAAGACCCTCCTCCTCGACCGCGCCTTCGGTCGCACTCCCCTCCATCCTCCCTGGTCCCAACCAATTCCCCGACTGTCAGCGCCTTGGGACGTTCCTCCCGACGTGAAAGGCACTATACAAATATAATTTGTTGTTTTTCAGGTCCTGTTGGAAGAAGAAAAGCGAGAAATGATAGCTTCCCGAACAGAGGAACGCAACACCAGAATATTCAGCTACGCCATCTACCACACAGTGGAAGAGGTAAAGTCAACCTACAACAGCACCTTGCGCTTATATATAACGTCTCTCATGCCATATAAACATTTCAAATCGCTTTAGAAAATAAAATGCAATAGAATGGAATAAATCATGTTACCTCGGCAAAGTGGCAGCTAATCTGTGCCAGCAATCTCCCATAAACAATAGCGAGATGAATAGCCAATTCATTTGAATTTGGCTTGAACATCTGGCCGTGGACAGAATATAAGGCCGGATAAATGGGAGGAGGAACTCTACTTTTTAATATTTAAATAGATGACCTTGTCTATGAACTTCACCTTCAAAGCCCTTAATGGCCTTGCTCCTCCCTACCTCTGTGACCTCCTAACTCCCTACCAACCTGTCCACTTCCTCTGCTCAGCGGGCTCCGGCCTGCTTCACGTCCCCCGCCTTGCCCACCCCACCATTGGTGGGCGGGCCTTCAACCTCCCTGCCTCCTCCCACTGGAACTCCATCCCACAGTTCCTCTACCTCACCCCCTCCCTTGAATCCTTCAAAACCTATCTGAAGAGCGTCCTCTTCGACCGCACCTTCGGTCACCCTCCTACGCCTACCCTCCCCGCCCTCCACCCCTCCTGATCTCAACCACCAGGTGTGGATCCCTGATTGTCCAGCACCTTGGGAAGTCTTCCTGATGTGAAAGGTACTTATACACATGTAATTTATTGTTAGAAAGAGACAAGACTGGGTTTCAATTAATTTTGCCGCTGTATTTTATTCCCCCAGATCTTTGCCTGGATGGACACATTCGTAGCTTCAAACGCAGGCCTGGTCAGCAAGATGCAGATTGGTACCAGTTATGAGAATCGCCCACTCTACGTGCTGAAGGTTGGTTTGCGAAGCCTGTTGTTTACCTTTTATGTCATTACGTTTCAATCCGACAGGTTATCCGATGGGTCAGTGCCATTACTTTGAATGATGGATCGACGGCTGCAGTTAGTTTAATCTGTTTTTAATATTTTATCCCATTGAACACTTTTATACTTAAGCAGGCATCCGTCCACCTGCTTCCAGAATCAAAGTGATGGTTGTTTCTGCGTCTGACACATTGGAATTCTATTAACTCTGTGATAAATTGTTGCTGTGGAGTCCACTTATATCCAAGAGGACATTGACAGATCAATCTGTTGGGATTTTTGGCAGCTATTGATCAATTCAGGTTATTCATTAATCAATTCCGGTCTTGCAATACATTCTCAAGTATTCATTCTTGTACATATAAAACATTTGAACCCCTGCATTACAATGCTTCGGGGAGAACAAGTTTGTAGAGCTATGGGGAGAGAGCAGGGGAGTGGGTTTGATTTGGATAGCTCTTTTCAAAGAACTGGCACAGGCACGATAGCCCGAATGGCCTCCTTCTGTGCTGCATAATTCTATGATTCTATGACTCTATGAATTCTGAATTTAAATGACTCCCTGATATTTCAAGTGAAGATTTTATTCAAACTGTAAGCAAGACATAACTTCACCAATGAGCAACCTGTACAAGGCAGGGGGCTGAGGTTTGCGTTGATCAAGAGAACATAGGATTAGAGTTACGAAGGGCAATTTCAGGACAAACACCACAAAATAGAATTATTGATGGATAATTATTGACAGGTTGCCAGATAGGGTGTAATTGAAGTCGAGGTACAGATCAGCCATGATCTAGAATGGTGAAACAGGCTTGAGGGGCTGATTGACCTACTCCTGTTCCTATGTGTGGATGAGGAGTGAACTCATTTATAAATAGCCCGATGCAGTGATGAGAAGAGGGTACAGTGGGTATATTAGGATGAGATCAAATGGGCCAAAGGGGTTCTTCTCCTCAATCAATCTTGTTAGTGTATTTGTGGCATTTCAGATGGTTTCGCCTAAGGTTTCGCCCGGGCCCAGGAATCAAACCCGGGTCCTCTCGCTTGAGAGGCGAGCGCTCTGATCAAAATGCTACAGGACCCCACTATTTGGATGCATATTTAAAATATTTTTTTTCAGGGTACTAATAGCCAATTTCACTGTTGTCACTTTTTCTACACAGTTCAGCACTGGTGGAAATAATCGCCCGGCCAACTGGATTAACTTTGGCATCCACTCCCGTGAATGGATTGGTCCAGCCACCGGCCTCTGGTTTGCAAATAAGGTTCGTCTGCCATCAATGTGATTGTGATTACTGTAATCTATGAATCCCTTCAGGCCCCAGTAACTTCTCTCTGATCTCCTTCTACCCCACTTCCCTACTCAACCCCTCCACTTGGCTAAGTGGCCAACCCCGCCTTCTCCATTCCACCACTAGCGGCTGAGCCTTCAGTTTCTAAGTCCCTAACCACTGTAACTCCCTCCCTCTAACTCTCCATCTCCCCCTCCCCTCTATCTGTCTTTAAGTCTCGCCTTAAAACCTACCTATCCGAATGCACATATGGTCATCACCTCTTGGTGACCGGTTGTTAATATTATCACCGGTGATAATTATCACATTGTAGGACATTCTGTTCCTGTTGATGTCTGGGGCAATAAGTAGCACAGAGTAACACTCCTCCAAATGTTCTCACCCATACTTGGTCTCGGCAGTTGAGTGAGTTGACATTGCCTTTGGACCACCATTTCTGTGCTGGTTTGGGGACTATTTTAAAGTTAATTTGAAGATCCCTTGTGGCTGATATTGACGAGAACTTCTTCAGGAGTGGTGGAATGTCCCATGATTTGACAACTATCATCAGTGATAATTACTGATAATTACCTTTCACATCAGGAAGACTTAATAATACATGCAATTGATGTAGAAATACATTTACTACTCGCTCACTATTTCAGTGAGCGAGTGGTAAATGTATGGAACAGGAAGACGGTGGAAGGAGAAAGTGTTTAATCTTTCAAAAGCAAATGAGATAGATTTATTTTAGGAAAGAATAGCTTGGGATACAGTATCGTTAGAGACATGACATGTGCATACGAATGCCAGGAAGGCGAACTGGATGGGCCTTGGTCTTCTTTCGTCTGACAAATTCTTATCTTCTAGAATGTCTTGAAGGGCTTTGCAACATTCACTGTAAAATGTAATGCCTCTATATTGGTAAGAAAATACTATATATGTGTATATATATTTGATGTAAGTAATTAATCCATCACGCACCACATTTTTCAGCTAATCATATTGAAATGTTTACAGCCGGCAGGAATCAAGTGAGGCAGGACATTGAATGTCCTCAGCATTCACTCATTGTGTGAACTTTCTTTATGGTATCTGCTGCAGCTCGCCTCTGAATATGGCAAGGATCCCTCTGTGACTTCATTGCTGGACAAAATGGACATCTACTTGGAGCTTGTTACAAACCCCGATGGTTATTACTTCACTCACAATGAGGCAAGTGCAATGGAAATCTTACCGCTTATTGTTTCTTTTTGGGTGTTAAAACATTTCTTTCCCTCTTTCCTCTGTTACTTGCCTCACAATGTCTACAGTTGCTGCCTAAAAGGCAATGAGGTGACCATCAACAATTCAACAGGAGCAACAACTTGAATTTATGTAGCGCTCCTCCGGCAGAGTAGAGTCCCAGAGCGCTTGAGGTGACCATTTACTAAGGTCACAAGAGGCCAGACAATTCACGAGAACAGTGCTGCTTTTTTGTTTAATCCTTCCTCCAAAAGAGCTCCAATGCACTCGACCTGTGTTCAACACCTTTTCATAACTGTCTGGCTGACTAGAGCGTTCAGATCACATTAAAACTACTAATTGAGTATTGAGACTAACTCTGGGTTGTTGTTAGTTTTCATCCATCTGTAACTCATTGTAGGCTCAACATTCTGATGGACTAACTTGGAAAGTTAATGCCAGTTACCAGGATTTTCTATTTATAATTATAGTAATAATAATCCTTGCATTTGGTATAGCGCCTTACCGCATCGTTGAGATGTCTCAAAGCGCTTCACAGAATATATTGTAAAGTGAATTGAATGTATATTTTGTGGGCGGGCGAAACGTGGCAGCATCCCACAAACGGTCGTGGATTGAGTGAACACATTTTTTTTGTGGTGGGGAGGGCTTATTGCTGCCAGAGAGCAATTTGCTGATCAATTACCAACTGGGTTCCTACTCACTGCTTGGTAAACAAAGGCGTATGGAGTAAGGAAACTTGCCCAAGTCTTCACCCCGCCTGGGAATCGGACCAGGGTCCTCTTGCTTGCAAGGCGAGCGCGCTAACCACTACGTTAGGGAACTATTTGCACCAGTTCAGTTCAGAAATATTCTGGGAGAGTCGCACAAGTGGGAAACAGCAAAACCAAACAGCCTATCATCCACTGTATATTTTGAGATAGCTGTGGATTTGTAGCGTTTTCAGTACCTTTTTTTTAATGTCCCGTAGCTCAGTGGTTAGAGCACTCGCCTTGCAAGCGAGACACCTGGGTTCAATTCCAGGCAGGTCAGGGCGAAACCTTGGGCAAGTTTCCTTACTCCACACAGAGCCTAATAATAATCCCTCCAAAACAAAACAATAATAAATTGGTCATTCTCAATCCACAACTGTTTGTCGGACACTGTTGTGCGCAATTGGCTGCCGCGTTTCGCCCACAAATATACTGTCAATTCACTTTATGGTATGTTCTGTAAAGCTCTTTGAGACATCGAGAAGACGTGAAAAGCGCTATATCAAATACAAGGATTATTATTATTATGTTGCTAATGTTTGTTTTCAGAACCGAATGTGGCGTAAAACCAGGGCCAAATACAGTGGAAATTTATGTATTGGCGTTGATCCAAACAGAAACTTTGATGCCAACTTTGCAGGTAAAGTCACATTCCACTCACTAAGGTACATAGGAAGAGAAGTTCAGAAGCTACTTATCTCTCTGAAGAGCAATCAAAGTGTATTCCAAGCCGGTATAACATGCTTTTGGTTACCATTATAGCTTACCAAACTGGGGTTTGCAATTCACAAGATGCACATTTTCCCAAATTGAATGTCGCAAATCAAAACCGTAATGAAATAAAATAAATTAAATCAAATAAAACAGATGTGTAATATTGCAAGTTAAACTTTTCTACTTACACTGATTTAGGTGATTACCATGGATGACAGATGACATGAAGTGATGTGATCCATTTTCATGTTAAGGGAATTTTCTTATATAATAACAACAAAAATTACATTTGTATAGCGCCTTTCATGTCGAGAGGACGTCCCAAGGTGCTGGACAGTCGGACTTATATAAGCAGATTCCCTCTAATCAAACTAATGACAGATGCTAGCTAGGTCTTATCCTCGCTTTCTATTGATAGGGCCTGGTGCGAGCAGTAACTCTTGCTCAGAAACATACCACGGACCTTCTGTCAATTCTGAAAAGGAGGTCAAAGCCATCGTTGACTTTGTGAAGGGCCATGGCAATTTCAAAGTCTTCATCGACATGCACAGCTATTCCCAACTCTTACTGTTTCCCTATGGTTACACATCAACAAAGGCAAAGGATCATGATGAACTGGTAAGACAACTTATAGCTAGTTCCAGCTTGTTCTTAGTATTTATATTGGGTTATATTGATTTATTGATCAGTGATTTGATTGTGGTTCACTTCAGGGGAATCCATAAGAAGCTAAGCTCTTTTGTGACAAAAGGAATTCAGGCAAACCAAGCCTTTCTGGTGTGTCTCTTCTTAATTAACGGACTAGAGATATGACAAAAGGGACGGGTGTATAAAGGCAATATTCAGCATGGTGTCCTCTGCTGGGTTAACTGATAATAATAATAATAATAATAATAATTCACCTTGCTTTGGATGTAGCGCTTTATCATGTCGTTGAGAAGTCTCAAAGCGTTTCACAGAATATATGGTAAAGTGGATTGACTGTATTTTGTTAGCGAAACATGGCAGCCGATTGTGCACAGCAAAAAGCAGTCTTTTTTTAAAAAAATCTCAGTCAAAACAGTAGCGGGAATCGTACTGATCTACACAGGAAATGCACTACATCCCAGTAACTTTGGGTCTACATAACTCTTGTGTTATAAGGGAACTTGTGCTCCAGGGAGGTGAGTTGTAAAGGGGTTGCCCTGAATGTCAATGGGTCAGTGTCTTCAGGGGCAAAGGAAAAGAAATTGAGGAAAGAAAATACAAAATTCTAATTTGAAAATCATCTGAGAAAAAAAGTTCTAAAAGTAAAATAGCTCTTTATATTAATGTATTTCACGAGTTACCTGTACCATTTGTCTGCACAGTTTACAACAACATTTGTTGGCTCCTTTCATGTCGGGAGGACGTCCCAAGGTGCTGGACAATCAGGGATTTGGACCTGAGCTGGGGGTTGGGATCAGGAGGCGTGGAGGGCAGAGAGGGTTTGGGTAGGAGGGTGACAGAAGGCGCAGTCGAAGAGGAGGGTCTTGAGACATGCCTTGAAGGAGGCAAGGGAGGGAACAGGGCAAAGGGACTGTACATTTTCTCATCCTAACTCAGCTCAAATCAACGCAAATCTGTTTCCTCCAGAATGCACTCAGCAAGGTATCAACCACTGCTTTGAGATCACTGTACGGCACTCCATATGTTTATGGACCCATCCTCACCACGATCTGTGAGTATGGTCATTGTAGACTTTCATGTGAAAGACAAATGTACATTCATATTCCATCCCCTTTCCTAGTGGAGCTCATATACAGTGAAACCACCACAGAATGTTACAACACAGAAATAGACCATTTGGCTCGTCAAGTTGGTGATTTTCACCGCACGAGCCACATAATCTAATCACTGTCCTGCTCACTCCGTATATATAAGAACTTGCATTTATGTACCTCCCCTCATTGCAGGGTAGCGTCCATTAAATACCCTTTAATACTATTTTTCAAGCTTCAAAGGGGATCCAAGGAGAAAGATTTGGGGGAGTGATCAGGCCATATCACGTACTGTTTTTCACTAGATCGTGTCTCTTTGCCTCTCCAACTGTTACCCCTGTTCTGATCTCTTGTAACACGCTTTTTACCTTCATTTGCCTCTTACCCTTTGCCACCCATTTTTCTTTATTCTTGTCGTGTTTCAATTGCGTCCTTTCTTTCTAATGTATTGAGAGGGTAGGTTGGTGACCTCCCAGTTTCTGATACTACCATTAAAAAAAGAACCTTTAGAAGCTCCCGTAAAATGCAGGGTCGACATTTCCTCTAACTTTCCTTCATCTCCTTCGGCATAGAAACCTAACTGCTTGGCTTTACACGGCTTTGCCTGTTGTGAGATGGGGTTAAGATTGGGAACCCCAAAGTATAGGCCCAAGACATCCTGTCACACCGATGCCACTGAATATTAACACCTCAGCCTTCCCTTGTGAAGAAGAAAGCACACAATAATAATCCTTGCATTTGACATAGAGCCTTATCGCACCTTTGAGACGTCTCAAAGCGCTTCACAGAATAAACTGAAGTGAATTGACTGTATATGTTGTGGGCGAAATGTGGCAGCCAATTGCACACAGCAGCGTCCCACAATCGGTCGTGGATTGAGTGACCAATTTATTGTTACCATTTTTTTTGGAAGGAATTATTATTACCCCCGGAAAAGCTATCCGCCGTGTCGACTAGTATGCTGATACACATCAGAGTATGCCATGATACTAAATATCTACATTTATCTCTTCCCCATTAGATCAAAGCAGTGGTTCATCCATTGACTGGGCCTATGACTCCGGCATCAAATACGCCTTCTGTTTTGAACTGCGGGACACTGGCAGATACGGTTTCCTTCTCCCAGCCAAGCAGATTATCCCAACAGCAGAGGAAACCTATTTGGGTTTGATGAAGATTTTGGAGCATGCCAGAGACAACCCTTACTAAAAAAGAATGATAAACTTGGCTCCAGTTTTGCTGGTGCGCGTATGCTTTGGCACCAGTCTTTTAATAGCATAAATCAAATTTTTCTTGAAATAAACGACTCAGCGTGCAGTTCATATTGTGTTTACTGTAGCTAGGCCTGCCAGTGCTGATCATAAAGCGCATAAAACTTCCTACACTAGCAAAACAAGCACCTCAGCCATTCAGGTGTTTTTGTTGACTGATCCAGATCTTCAAAGGGTAATACGCAAAGGCTTGGGGAAATCTGGAACTCTCTCCCCAAAAGGCTGTGGATGCTGGATCCATTCAAATTTTCAAGACTGAGGTAGATAGATTTTTGTAAGTTGAGGGTATCAAGGGCTATGGGCAAAGATGGGTGATTGGAGCTGAGGTCCAGATCAGCCATGATCTAATAGAATGACGGAACAGGCTCGAGGGGCTGAATGACCTACTCCTGTTCCTATGTTCTGCTGACAGTGTGTTGTGGCTGTCAACCAAAACATTCAATAATTCTGGATGTGTAGTCAATAGCTTTTGTTGTACTGGAGGTGAGACCAATGTACGATTGCTTCACTTGGTCAGTCGTACAATGGGATGTAATGCATTACATTAACACAATAATTATCACATCATGGGCCATTCTGCTTCTAGCTACGTCCCAGTATATGTGTGTATTTTGAGCTCCTCCTCTAGGCTGCGATAAAAGTCTTCCCATCATGAAGCCAATTTCCCCTTCTACAGCAAATGCGCTTCAAACAAAAAATAATTATTCTCAGTTTATTTGTGCTATAAGCAATGTTTGCCCACATCAGATGCAAACATTCCTCTTCAGATTAAGCAGTTAATGGGTCTTCTCCACGTCGACATATTTCCAGTAATAAATAATTAAATGAACGATTGGAGCAAGTGTTACAATCGGAGCTGCCAAATCATCCATGGTACTAATACACTAGGTAACAGTTGGGTTGACCCAAGTCGCTTTCAGCCGCTACACCTCGAAACTCTGAACACTCTTCCTCTAACCCTCCGTCTTGCCCCCTCCTCCCCATCAGATCGCACCTGAAGACCTTCCTCTTCGACTGTGCCTAGTCACCTCCCCCCTCCCCCTGGCTCAGCTTCGTGCTCCGCCACTGTCAAGCGCTCTGGGATACTACCCCACCTGAGGGGCTTTATATAAATTCCAGTTTTTGTTGTTAAATATAAGATGATAAAAATGCAGACAGCCTGGACGGGGTCAGTATTCGAACACCTAGTTGTCATATATTGGAAAGAGAATTTCTTACTAAAAAAAAAAATTAGCCATTTATTACAGCAGTAAATTGGTACAGCAATTCCAAAATCTGAAATAAACCTCCAATGCCGAACAAATAAGTTCTATGTGAATTTTGAAATTTATTCTGGCAAACAAGAGTGATAAGATTTCCTAGCTCAGTAATGCAATCTTGTAAAAAAAAAGAATCAGTTGACTCGCAAATTTAAGTTCCAACGTATCATCTTATTTTAATGCTTCCTTTGGAATATAAAGTGTCATAGTGGGAGGATTGCTACAGTGATGTGCTTGGGAGTTACTCATTTATCCTGTAAATTAGGGCTGGTTATGGGAGAAAGACTCAACACTAACAGCTGAGAATAGCTCAGGAATGTTAAACTGCATTGCAATGCAGATCTCTTCCTTTCCAGTCTGTTCTAAAGCTGCTCAAAAAGGCAAAAAATTGTTTCAGTGTACAAAACTGCTTGCTTTCTGCAGCAAAGCTGGTGGCATGATCAAACCATATTGAAAAGATACTGCATACCTGAAGCTTTGACATATTGTCAAACATTATAACAGTGTTGGTGTATTATTTCGAAACAGTGCTGTACAAACTTTCCTGTTCTTGTGTGCCGAGATGCTCTTGGTTCCCGCTCAGTGCTATGAATTGGAATTGTATTGGAAATTAGTTGTTCATTGAAATAGTTGCGCACTATAACGTCATGGTATTCCACAACGTGCTATTTAATAGTATGGACTACCAGTTGTTGCTTCAAGTTGTTTGTTTTTACTAAATGTCAGTGACATACGTTTCTACAGATATTTAATTCTTTAGCAGCTGTTGATTTAAAAAAATAGCAAATATATCAGACACAGAAGCGATAGTGGGGGAGTGACATTCTGCTGTTCATTTCCATGGTCTGTTCAGATAGCTTCCTGTGCTTGACCGGGCACTGCCAGCCATGGATTGGGCACGGCTGTTAGACATTGTCGACAGCGTTCTTGAAGAAAGCCGGCTGCAATTACCTGAAATACATTAATTTTAGAAATTACAACACATCTTAAGCTCAGAAATTAGCTTGAAGTTAGGAAAAGCTTCAGACTGGGAAAGACTGAAAAATGCTGGCACCGGAAAAATATCTATTTAAACAGTATCCATTCTATTTCTCTCGTTATTTCATTCTATATTTTCATTATTAATTATTTCATAATTTCATTTTTCTTACTAGCTGTTTCCGATGGCAATAGACAATCGTTCAGATAATGGTTTATTTTGAACAAATCATCCGCAGTAAATCTGAACTTGTTCTGTGCAGGGAGTGGTGGCTCTGGAGGTGCTGAACGTCTGCGGCGAGATGGTGGAGGAGTGATAGGCTGGCATGACTCTGGGATTGAACCAGTCAGTAGACCTTCTGGGAATAGGTGGGCAGCTAATTTCAGCCCTAAAAACACATAAATTTACATCAGACAGGATTTCAAGGATGTCTTTGTTGCACGTTTTCAACATGAATCAGTTCAAGAAAATGATTCATTTCTAAACAATTTCACAATCTATTCATATCTAGTATCCTTCCACCAGCATTTCCTGCAAAATGTCATTGGTCAGCAAAATTCTTGGCCAATTTCCCTCTATCTTACCCAGTACATACATAAGCTCTAAGGTTCTACTGATATTCTGAGTGTGACTGTTTAACTAAGCATAGACCTTACTTGGCTGGAATGCTGAGTACCACACATCATGCATTTTATCCCCTGACCCATTAGGAAGCCAACCATAATAACAAATTAAATTTCTATAGCCTTTCACGTTGGGAGGACGTCCCAAGGCGCTGGACAGTCAGGGCTTTGCACCCGAGCTGGGGATTGGAATCAGTGGGGTGGAGAGCAGGGAGGACGGGGGTAGCAAGGGAGCAAGCGAGGCGAAGGGACTATGGAATGGAGTTCCAGAAGATGGGTGAAGAAAGGCTGAAGGCTCGACCGGCGATGGTGGGTTGGGTCAGTCGAGGGAAATGGAGCAGGCCAGAGTCCGCTGAGCGGAGGGAGTTGGACAGGTTGGTATGGAGTGGAGAGGCCTATTTATTCATTCAAGTTAATCTTTTCTCCCTCCTTTCTCTCATCTATCTCAGACCATGTGCCAACTGAAGTCAACTGGATCAAGAGCAAAATTCCTACTTTGTTTGAATAACTGAAGCTTGCCAGTAGGCGCTGTCCAAGAGCATCCTGATATAACTCCATCTTACTTTGTTTTGTTTTGCTTTCAGCCTCTCTGCCCCACACTCTGGAACTCCATCCCACGGTCCCTTTGCCTCGCTTCCTCCCTTGCATCCTTCAAGGCCGCTCTCAAGGCCCTTCTCTTCGACCGCTCCTTTGGTCTCCCTCCCACCTCTCTGCCTTCCCTCACCCCTACACCACCTCTCCCCCATGCTCGGGCTCCGACATCTGACTGCACAGCGCTTTGGGATGTCCTCCCGACGTGAAAGCCGCTCTATAAATATAATTTTGTTGTTGTTTGTTAGAGCTCAGTGGTAGCAGTGCATCATCCCTGAGGAAAGGTATTGGAAGATGCACCACTCACCTCCCGTTAGCATGAAAAGGTTCTCAAAGCCTCGCTCACACAGAACTGTGGCAGCCTGGCTAGCCAGCCGCTCGTCTTCATCATAGACCAGAATGATTTTCCCGCTGACATTTTTCTGCGTGTCGCTGTTAAGGTACCAAAAGCATCTTAAACTGACAAATCAGAACTTTACATGTTAGGTGTACCACTCTTTGCTGCAAAGGAGATAGGAGGGAACTGTAGAAGAAATATTTTAAATCCAATTTTTCTCACTGAAAACAAAATTGCAAATTTTAGAATGTCATTATAATGGCTTTTTAACATCTCCAAGTACCACACAATAATAATAATCCTTACATTTGATATAGAGCCTTATTGAGACGTCTCAAAGCATTTCACAAAATATACTGTAAAATGAATTGACTGTATATTTTGTGGGTGAAACCTATATCACCTTGAAAAGAACGGTGGTCGTGGGGGCGTGGGTTGGTGGAGGCGTGGAAGTAGAAAGAAAAACACATGGGTGACATGAAATGACTTATGTCCTTCCATTCTTCTTCAATGAGCATTAACCCTAATCCTGCTTTGCTGTTATCTCAAAGGGTTGTGGCTTCCCTTTCCCTCCCTCCTCAGAAACAACACAAAACTAGCTCACATCAGTGGGACAGAAAGCTTTCCTCCCTGCTAGTACAGTAGTAGAAAATTGAGATTGGAAGTCTCAACCCATTTGTTGGGAACGTAGCTGGACACGGGTTCATGCTAAGTTAGCAATCTTACTCAGATAGGCCAAAGGGTTATTTAATAAAATAAGTAGAATAAAATCACACTAGAGCAGCAAGTGGTGTGCTTGTTTGAGATCGGAACAGATTAAAGAGACCTTTCCAGGTTCTGGTCTGTGTTATATCTGACCTGGAGTTGGTCACACTTGGTGCTAAAAATGGACAAAGTGCATATTGCATACTGAAGAAAAACAGTGTAATTTTCCATTGAAAACATACCAACCATTCTTGTGCCCACTGACTGAAATTGCCTATTTCCACCTTGGAGACCAAAAGACAACACCAACCGCTTTGGTGTGATTTATTTTCTACACCTTATACAAACTCTCTATGGCTTCTAGGAATGATAAATGTTGAACAGTAAATGTCCACGTGGAGACTGTACATAGGGTCACATAGGGTCCTCACTGCTTAATTTTTTATTTCCTATCATTCTAGTTTATATTGGAGCCTAAGTCTTAACAACAAAAATACAAAATCAACCAGTGCCCCATTAAATCTGACACTTGGAATAAAGGATAGAATGACAATCTAAGGTCCACAGTGATATGGTGACTTGTTATACAAAACTCCAGTTAAACCAAAGGATACGTATTGCAGAACCTCTTTTGTGTAAGGGTTCATAGTCCGCGACAACATTGCTGTAGGATAATTGTAGGCTATGGAGACAAACGAGAACAATCTCAATCATCATGAAGCTGTAGATTTCTAAGTTTCTAAAGTGTATTCACTCATGAACTATAACATGGGCCCAATGTACAAATATGCAACACCCCCATATTATCATTTCAGTACTTTTAAGCCTCCCGTAATACAACTTTATCCATTACCTCCAATAATGTGACACTCCTTGAAAGCATCACTGTCTCGTACATCCAGCAAGAGGTAGGGGCACTCTGGATATGGTTTATCAATTTCCACATGAGTTGGTACACGAGGTTTGTTATTAGGCTTCAAACCATTCTCCTTCTCTAGATCTATTTCCCCAACACCACTTATAACACTGCAAAAAACACAACATCAAATCAGAGATCACATTAGCTTCATAACACACCATTAAAGGCTATCTGTCTTTTAACATTAACATCGTAGTCATATTTATCAAACACGTTTTTGACATACAAAATTCTCAACTTAAAAATTCTAGTCACAAGGAAATCAACATTTTTTTTTCTTTAAACCCCCGTCGAGTCAATTTCCACTTTAGATAAAGTACTTTGACAAGTTATCCATAATTTTACAAACTTGGTAAAAAAAACTAGTAACAATCTCCACAATGAGAACTTTTGTTTCACTTTTTTTTGTTTCTTCACTTTTACTTTACAGTGCAGATTACTGTTACAGGGTTAGTTAAACCAGTGCATGATTTACACTGCAGGAAGGTGTGAGGGCCAAGAGGAATTTGTAGACAGAAGTAAAGATCTGCTGGAAGTTGTGGGAGTAAGTAAGAAGATGTAGTTTCTATAGTTTCCATATAGTTTCATACTTGCTGGGAGCTAATGAGAATTCTATACACAAACTTACAATGTGCAGATCCCTGATAAACACACTGTAGTTACTGTTTAAGGTAAGGAAAGTCAGTCCTGCAACCAATTCTGTGTGCTATTTGTGGTGAAATGACACAAAACGTATGGTATAAAAATATTTAGTTGCAAACCCAAATCAACTTTTACATTTTTTTTTAATTTAATTTTCTCTTAAAATAATGTGCAACCAAACAGATCTGATTCCTCTTCTGTACCCTCCCTTTTAGTCTCATATGGAAGAGGGGGAAAAAAACACTAGACTATAATCCTTTTTGCAGCACCACATTCATTACCTTTGCAGAGTGGAACGAGCTGAAACAACTTTTTCACCAGAACCATTGTCACTTATCATCAGGATCGGAGTTTTTGGTTGCCTTCCTGTAAAGCAGTCTTCTTCATTGCCCTTTATTGAAAGTAGCTCAGGCTCACGTGCAGAAAGCACCGAATTTGAATCTGTGGAAAATCAAGTGCATCATTAATAATGATAATAACACTTACGTTAGTTTCTTTCATGTCAGGACGACGCCCCAATGCGCTTCACAGGATATACTCTGAAGTACAGGGACTGTTTTGTGGACAAACCCAAGCTTTTCACAAACAAATGGTTGTTTCATATCTGATTTATTATTTCCTTTTCGAATTATAAACACAGTCCCTCCACCTCACTTCCTCCCTTGCCTCCTTCAAGGCCAGTCTCAAGACCCTTCTCTTTGACCCTGCCTTTAGTCTCCCTCCCACCTCTCTGCCTTCCCTCACCCCTACCCCACCCCTCCCCCATGCTCGGGCCCCGACACCTGACTGTTCAGCGCTTTGGTACATCCTCCCGACATGAAAGGCGCACTATGAATGTAATTTTGTTGTTGTTGTTGTAGTAAAGTGTTTTGCATAAGCTTTTAAAGTAGACTAAGAATGTTGTTTTTGTTTGAAAAAAATGTAATATTCACATTAATTTTGTTCAAAATTTGTTTTAGTTTTTGGGCAGGATTTAGAAACAGCAGAGTTCATTAATATGCAGGAGGCTGATGATAATATAAATCAAAATTATCCTTGCATTTTGGTATAGCCATGCAGTCGAAATGACTCAAAATGCTTTCTGTCATTGGGAGCAATGCAGTACAATAAATTAGGAGTTCATTTCTATCAGTGGCTTTAAAAATTCTTTAGAGAAAAAAATTATGGAATAAAAACAGCTTCCATTGTTTGTCTCACAGAGGTGACATAATAATGTCAATTTAGGCATAGTCAAAAAAGTAGATGGGTTTTAAAGTTAGAAACAGAAGAGTTAAAATGTAGGGCTAAAGGTTGGGAGTTCCTGAGAATAGTGGCTGAAAGTTCAGCTGTCGATGGTAGAGGAGAGGGTGCACAGCAAGGGAGCTAGTTTGCTGAGCTAGGACAGCAAGCTTATTTGCTGAGCGAGAGAGCAAGGTTGGAAAGATCACAGAGGTAGAGAGGTGGGAGGCCGAAGAGGAATTTATAGGTCTGGTTAACACCACTGAGACCCAGGGGAGCCAGGAACAGGTTTAATGTAATGAGTTTGAAACTTTTATGAGGGTAAGGATGCAGGAGGAAGAAGTTTGAATGAGTGGAAGCTTGTGGATGGTGAAGCTGGGCAGGTCAGCAGGAAGGCATCAGAAAAAATCTTGAGATGACTACAGTGTTTAGTGTGAAATAGGGACGAAGGCGGGTAATGTAGCAAGATGCAGAAAAGGCCTGGAAGGGAGGGAGGGCGAAGGGCTCACCAAATGCCAAAGATTGCACTGATTCAGTGAGTTTCAGTGAGGCGGGGAAGGTTGGGGAAGTCAAAGCCAGAAGCAAGGAGGCATTGGCAGGAGCCACCTATGTCACTCACTTGACATCACTTCCTGGTTTGTGATTTAAAGGAAAATCTAAAACAAATTAGTTTTTTTTAAAAAAACTGCAAATGTACCCTTGATTTTTTTTAAAAAAAGGCACAAATGTGTTAGTAACAAATTCCTACACATAAGATAGGTGGTAATATATTTTCCATTCTCTACACACGGACTTTTTGAGATATAGATTTATGACCAGGAACTTCCTATACCAACCTTGCAGCCTCTGTTCCTCATCAGATATCCCATTATTTTGTTCATTCACAGATGCTACCTGAAGTATCTGAGGATATGACAAAGTATATCAAAATATATTAATGTTTTGCAAGAATTATGATTTGTAATTAGTTACATCAGGGTGATCCAACTGGCAGCCCGCGGTCCGATTTCATTCCCGCTCCCTCCCCCCTTCCATTTCATCTGGCCCGTAAATGTTATGCTGCGTTTCTGGAAGTGAAACGCAAAAATATTACTTGTGGGGCCTGCGGTCGTTTCTCAAATAAGGCATCTGGCCCTCAGCAGCCAAAAGGTTGGATCACCCTGAATTACATAAATATATGTTAATATCTAAAAACTATTGTAGTACATACTAGGAGAACAAAATGCGCATATAATGAATGGAAACGAAAAGCAGCAGCAAGATGTGTAATGTAATGTGTAGTGTAATGTGTAATGCAAGTTTCCTCACTCCACCGCCTGACAATAATCCTCCAAAACAAACAACAATAATAAATTGGTCATTTTCAATCTACGACTGTTTGTGGGACATTGCTGTGCGCAATTGGCTGCCGCGTTCGCCCACAAATATACAGTCACTACACTTTACAGTGTGTTCTGTGAAGCACTTTGGGACGTCGAGAAGACGTGAAAAGCGCTATATCAAATGCAAGGATTATTATTATTATGGAACAATCATTTTCAATGTCCGGTTCACGAGATTGAAAGAGTGTCTATCGGTTAAAACAATCCTTATATTTGATACAGCAGTTTTCACTTTGGTAAGACGTTTCAAAGCACTTCATAGGATCTTACTGTAAAGTCAGTAATTTTGTAGGTGAATGTAGCAGCCAGTTTTCACACAGCAATATGCCACAATGAAATGAATGACCAATTTTATCTGGGGAATGGTAATTATTAATAATAATATTTACAATTGGAATACAGCCTTTTGTGTGCCAACGCGTCGGCAAAAGGGGCAACAAGTTGCGCACAGCAATCTCCTAAAAACAGCCATGAAGTGAATGACCAATTTTATTTTGGGGATTGTTGGCCAGAACACTGGGAGAAACTCCCTTCTCCTTTTGAATAGTGCCATGGAATCTTTATTGAATAGGCAGATGGGACCTTGATTTAATGTCTCATTAGAAGAACGATCTCTTCGTCAATGCTGTGCTCCCCTAACAATGTACAGGAATGCCACCTTGTATCTTCAAATTGCATTTCTTCCAGGGATGTCTAGTGAAAACTTGCCTCCTAAAACTCCCTGCCCTTGACAATATATTCTGTGAAACGCTTTGAGGTGTCTCAATGATGTGATAAAGGGCTGTATCGAATGCAAGGATTATTATTATTATTATTGACATCCCATGGTGCTTTTTCTGGTGTGTGTAAATTCTATAAACAATTTTCACAATAAATTACTGTACATCAGGTTTGAAATAAAATATTAGAAAAATCTTCAAATGAAGGCACAGTATTCCTGATATCCTATATACACCACAAGCCACCAAACTATAAAGAATACTTACCAGCTGAGAAAATGTGGTCAATTTCAATCTTTTAAATAGTTCATCTCTTCTATATCTATAATCTTTGCGAGAGAAAAAAAAGTAGAATTGCATGTTGTTTGTAATATGCGATTCTAAAGTTGTCAAAATAGATATCATAGCACACAAATGCTTGGATGTGTACAAATGCCTTTGCACCACTGCAGTTCCTGGTGAATGCAGCATGGTGCCTATATTACATGTAGTGAATACATTAATTGTTGAATACTCAACAACGATGATTTGGTTTGGATTACGCTTGTTTTTAGATGGCAGCTATTAACCTACAATCAACTAATGAGAGTATTACTAATTCATCACTGTACTTTTAACCTCCTTGAATTTTCACTTTTGCACTTGTCCATTGCACAATAACGTTATCAATTACATTAAATTGCTCCGACATTTATTGAGGCTTTCTAGTCTATTGAATACTGAGCTGGATGAACGATTCTATCAACAATGATAATTTCTACATATGATGCTTTGTGCAAACCAAAAATGCATTTGAAAAGGTATTGTTGTACTCAATCTTGAAGAACACACAATTGCCGGCAAATAATGAATTGCTCACAGTTTGGATCCAACAATTCTTGACAAACTCCATAGCTTACTAAAAGAACATAGTGATTTAACAACCCAGTACATCATACCCAATATGCTGATGTTGCTTAGAGAAGACAAACCAAACAGTACTGTAGATTCCAGTCACTTGGGTTTTCTCATCCAGAGACAAGGTAACCTGTGATTCTTTTATTAAATATAGCTACTTCTTTTGATCTTCCGTTACAATATTTTTGCCATGAACATTTTAGACGTTTTGCTTCATAATCATCTTAAGAGACTGGAAGTGAATTATGTCTGCATGGAAGGGAATCACTTACTTCTTTTCATCTCTTCAAGTTTTTCCATGTATTTTGAAAGGCTGCATCCTGCAGGAACAAATATTTTAACATATTCCATATTCACTTGAATTACATACAACAGACACTGACGTTAACACTGTCAGAACTAGTAGAGTATGAAGCCTCCCTTTATGGCTCAGATGGTAAACCCACTGCCCAGTGTGTAACTGAGCCATACAGAGCATGAAGTTCTCAGATTTGATTGCTGGTTTGTGTTGGGTCAGCTGTTCTTACACGAATCAATGCAAAAACAAAACAAAGACCTCAAAAATTATAAAATGCAATTAAAGGACTTGAAAAATATATTGTTTTCGTACATTAATAAGCTTGAACCAAGACTTCCGATTAGAATGATTTCTTCGAAGCACCTTCCCACTCCTAGCACTTATTGTATTAAATCTACAGCACTGAAACAGGTCATAATGTCCAACTAGTCTGTACTGATTTTTATACTCCGCACTACTGAGTTTACAATAGTGTTATGGGTACTGTGTAAAGTGTGTAAAAAGTAGGTGCGTTATCTGTTTTATGTAAGCCAAGAAATTAAAAGTGCCCTTAATTATGCAATTAACAACCAATGAACAGATTCATGGCTTATAATAGACCCGATTACCTACATCTGCACTCTTCAGTGCACCAGTGCCTTGCAGTGGATCATTGCGGATGTATCATTACAGAGATACATATTTGTGATTATTTAACAACTTACCAGTATTAATTCGTGCTCGGACATGTTGGTATTTCGGATTTGGTAGAATTCTCTTCTTCAAGTACTAGAGAGAAAAAATAACTGCTTTGAAGGTTTTCATAAAGACTGTTATTTATCCAGACATTGACACACAATATCGAGGCTTTTTATGAACACATAATAATATCAAGTCTATATCATAAACACAACCATAGGGATAGAATTCTCCCTCATTTACTTAGGATTGTGTGACAAATTTCACAGTTGCTTATCAATAATTTCTAAAAATACAAAAAGCAAGCATATTCTGATTTTCTTAAGTAAAATATCCATATAATGTTGATTTCATGGTGTGTTACTAAACCTGGTCAGAATCAGAATATGCTTGCCCTTAGGTAAATGGAGGATCTATCTGCTCATTTCAGGTGAGTTTAAAAGATCACATAACGTCATTCAAAAAGTGATGGGGATCTCCTCCAAACTCACTGGACATTGCAGCTGCCAAATTTCTCTAGTTACAACACTTGGTAGTTCTTACTTGAAATCTTGATATGATAAAATGGAATGAATAAATTGCGAATTTTTCTTTACAGCAGTCAATAATTACTTAAACAGTCAAAATTACTTTTTTTTAAAAATGTTGCAATTTGTAGACTTTTTTTTTTACTCGTCTTATAGGTTTGGTGCAGTCTGGCGCAGTTGGTAGCAAGAAGCAAGTTTCTCTGGTTAAAATTAGTTATCCACTTCATGGCTGTTTATTGACATTGCTGGGTGCAAATCGGCTGCTGTGTTTGCCTATAAAACACTATACTTTTCAGTAAAATGTTGTGCTTTGATGTTTCAGTCACGAGTTATACAAAATGCAAGGATTGTTATTTTATTATTATAGCATCACTTTCCTTTGGTCATCAAACTGATCATCGCCAATTTGCAACAAGTTCAATAACCTGTTTGTGTAAGGCCCTTACATGTTAACGACAGCGATAAAAAAAAAATGATCCTTGCATTTGATACAGCATCTTGCGCACCGGCAGGACGTCTCAAAGTGCTGCACAGGCTACGCTGGGAAGTGTAGTCAGTGTGCCTTTTTTTATATATAGGCAAACAATACTGTTTTTATTAAACTGCTGGTCCTGGTAGTTTTTCTTTAAAAAGTTCTAAAATTCAACAACACTAACAATGCAACATTTAAAGATATCTACATTCTTTCTCAACCGCACATTTAGGAACACTCGACCAGAAACTCCACTGAAAGTGCCCAAATGTCAAAACTTAAAAGTAATACACCAGGATCGCTTCGCTCAGCAGATATAAAACCGTACCCTTCAGGTCTCAGTAATCAGATAGTGGTGGTGGTGGTGGGGGTATGTTGTTCCCTTGCAAGAGTGAAAAAAAAACAAGACGTAACATTCATTTGACAGCGGTCCCAGTGAGGCGCTCGGAGTCGCCTTTTTTGGGGGGAGGGGGGGGGGGGTCGGTCAGCCGGGTGGGTGTCTGACACTCGCGGAAACCCATCACCGTTGCTTAATTCGAATTCAAGATCCTCATCCTCACCTACAAGGCCGTTCACGGCCTCGCTCCCTCCTACCTCTCCGACCTACTATCCCCCTACTTACCGGCCCGTACCCTCCGTTCCTCTGGCTCCGGTCTGCTCCACATCCCCCGCCCCAACCGCCCTACCATCGGTGGCCTTCAGCCTCTCAGCTCCGAGGCTCTGGAACTCTATCCCCCAGTGCCTTCGCCGCCTCCTCCCTTTCCTCCTTCAAGGCCGGTCTCAAGACCTTTCTCTTTGACCGAGCCTTCAGCTCCCCTCTCGACTCTCTTCCCCCTCCTCGCTCCCTCCCTCCCCTCCCCTCACCCTGACCATTTCCCCCCAAGGCTCGGGTCCCGACCCAACTGTCCGGCGCCTTGGGACGTCCTCCCGACGTGAGAGGCGCTCTGTAAATGCAATCTTGTAGTTGTTGTTGTTAAGCGTATCCAAGCCAAGCCGAGAATTCCCTGCCTCCCGGACCCACGCGTGGAAATCCCAGAGATAAGATTGTCGGGATGGAATGGAACGGATCGCCCCTCTCTCTCTCTCTTTCCCCGGAGGGACGCATCCTGCTTTCCCTAATTCCGGAAAGTGTGAGGCGCAGGTTGGCGAGAGCCAAGGCTGTGGGGGGTGAGAGGGTGTGTGTGGGGGTGTGGTTGGGTTGGGTTGGGGGGGAGGGGGGGGCAGCGGGGGGGTTAACTGCCGGTGTCTGACCGGCTAAAACCGCAGCAGCTTGGCCATCGATATCGCCGCCCGGCGAAGCCTTTCCCGCTGACTTGTCCGGTGGGGACCGCCCAACCCGTCGGGGCATTTTGGCTTCGTGGGGTCAACGGGGCGGACTCCCTGACCCCCGCCCCCACCCCCCAGCGACCGGTCTGCCCTGCCTGGGGTCCTCCCTGATGACCCGGACCGGCCCGACAGAGCGCCGTCCAATAATAATAATATAATATATAATAATAATAACATATAATCCTTTGCATTCGATCACCTCTCCCGGTCGAGGCGTCTCTCTCTCACACACACACACACACACACACACACACACACACAAAAAAAAGAAGCGCTTTCACGGGGAATTGACTCGACCACATTTTTATCACCGATTACGATGATGACGATGATGATGATTACGATTAACAATTAAATAATGAAATGATGAATTAATGATGAAATAAATCCTGACTGAACAATTCTGACGATCAATAACTACTACTAATAATAACAACAACAACAACAATTAAGGGCGAAATACACCTTCACACAAAGGACTCACCTCCTGATTCCCGATTGAATTCCACGCCGCCGACATCCCCTCTCTCTCTCTCTATCTCTCTCTCTCACACACACTCCCTCAGGTCTCCTCCTCGACGCTTAACGGTTAAAAACAAACGCCGCGCGACGGCGAAGGCGGCGAACGGCCCCCCCGACGGCAAACCGTCGCCGCCTCCGCTCCTCCCGCGTCGCGATTGGCCCCCCCGCGCCGCCCGGACGAGCCAATCGGAGCGGCCGACACTGCGGGGTGAGGCCGGTGACGTGGGCGGCGGCGGCGGCGGTGGTGGTGATGGTGACGGGGTGTGTGTGAGGAGGGGGGCGGGGCGGGTGGGGTAAGGGGGCGGGGCCTGCGCGGGGGGGGGGCGGGGGGGGCGGCGGTTGCTCGGCAACGCCAGGACGCCGCAGCGCTCAGGCCGCGTCACACACACACACACACACACACGGCGTCACGTGACCAGGTGACCAGCTGACTCCAGGTCTGGGCAAGTGGATTGGGGATAATAATAATAATAATAATAATAATAATAATGATAATAATAATAATGATGATGATGATATAATAATGACGATGGTGGTAATAATAACCACAACGACGACGACCACCACGACCACGACCGCGACGAATAATATTCAAAAAGATAATTAATTGCGCAGCAGAGGAGGTGGGATTGCAATTTGATGCTCCTCTGAAAGGTCAAGGGACCTGAGCGGTTTGCCGGTTGCCCTCCCTGCCAGCAGAGGAAGCCGGCTGTTCCGGGTGTGCAGTCGCTGTAACGTGGGAATCAGTTGGCTTGGCATTGGAGAGAAAGACAGAGGGAGCGAGAGAGCGAGAGAGAGCGAGCGAGAGAGAGAGCGAGAGAGAGAGAGAGAGAGAAAAAAAAATACCACAAGGGAATTAAAGGACAGGAGCAGAACCCGGAAATAGGACTCACAGAGGAGAGAGGCGCAGTACCAGGATGAGAACTCACTTGAGTGCAGGTGAGTGTCAGCTGGAAGCTCGGTGTAAATTGTTACAGCGACCGGCTGGTGCCTCATTCATTCATTCGTTCGTTCGTTCATTCATTCACTCACTCACTCACTCATTCAGTTCATTCACTCTAATTGGTGTGTTTCGTCATCGTCATTAATAATAATAATAACAATCCTCGCATTTGATAGAGCGCTTTTCACGTCGGGAGGACGTCCCAAAGCGCTTCACAGAACACACTGTAAAGTGAATTGACCGTATATTTGTGGGCGAACGCGGCAGCCAATTGCGCACAGCAATGTCCCACAAACAGTCGTGGATTGAAGATGACCAATTTTTTTTATTGTTGTTTTTTGGAGGGATTATTATTAGGCTCTGTGGGGAGTAAGGAAACTTGCCCAAGGTTTCGCCCTGACCTGCCTGGGATTGAACCCGGGTCTCATGAAGTGCTGTCAGTGCTGCAGGCAAAATAACGTGGCTTGTGTAACTCCTTATTTTGTTTTATTTTTATTTTTAAACACTGAACAAACACCAACACACATCATCACTTCCTCCTCTCACTCCCCCACCCACCCCACCCCCCAAAAAAAGTTTTTTTTATTTTATTCTTGATCAAAATAAGAAATTCATTGGATTCTTATTTATTTATTTATTATTATTATTATTACTGGATTCATTAATTTATTTATTTATTTATTAATTATTACTGGATTATTATGTATTATTATTTCTTATTATGTATTATTATTACTGGATCATTTATTTATTATGTATTATTATGCATTATTATTTATTATTATTGTGCGTTTCTTACTTCTTAACGACTCTGGATTTTATTATTTACAGTGTTGCAGGTTTTATTTTTAAATCTTATGTTTTAATATTTTTAAACAAGAATATTTTATTATTACTGTTTAAAATCTTTGGGTTTCTCAGGGCTGCACTTGGATGCTGTGTACTGTGGCGATTGTAAACATCAACGTCATTTATTGTTGTAATATGACAGCTTTGTGGGAGCCATTTAATCAAGAGAGTTCCATTTTATGAAGATAAAGAGAAAATTAAACCTCGCCGGAGAGGGCAATCACTTTATCTTCAAAGTATCTAATGATGGATTTCGTATTTATTCCATTTATGAATGCAACAATTTTCTTTTATTTATAAAACACCCTTCATCCTGGGCAGCACCTCGGAGCACTTGTTTTATAAAATTAATAATTTGTCATTCATAAACAATGTTTCAGTACAGGAAGCAGTAATAATAATAATAATCCTTGCATTTGATATAGCGCTTTTCACGTCGGGGGGACGTCCCAAAGCGCTTCACAGAACATACTGCAAAGTGAATTGACTGTATATTTGTGGGCGAACGCGGCAGCCAATTGCGCACAGCAATGTCCCACAAACAGTCGTGGATTGAAAATGACCAATTTATTATTGTTTTTGGTTTTGGAGGGATTATTATTAGGCTCTGTGTGGAGTAAGGAAACTTGCCCAAGGTTTCGCCCTCTGCCTGGAATTGAACTCAGGTCTCTCACTTGCAAAGCGAGTGCTCTAACCACTGAGCTACAGGACTCCACAGTATATTCTATTGTGAAATACTTGGTGCAATGACGGTAACTGGAGAAGAGATATTCATTTCAGTAGCTTCCCACTTCAACAACAACAACATTACCAAATTACATTTGTAGAGCGACTTTCACGTCAGGAGGACGCCCCAAGGGGCTGGATAGTGAGGGATTTGGACCCGATCTGGGGTTGGGATCAGGAAGGGTGGATGGTAGGGGTAGGAGGCTGACCAAAGGCATGGTCAAAGAGGAGAGTCTTGAGACGGGACTTGAAGGAGGCAAGGAGCGAGGCGAAGGGACTGGGGGTTGGAGTTCCAAAGGGTGGGGTTGGAGAGGCTGAAGGTTTGACCACTGATGGTGGGGCGGGCAGGGCAGAGGATGTGGAGCGGAGGGAGCGGACAGGCCTCAAGCCTCAAGGTCGACAAACACTCCGAGTGACAGCCTAAACAGTGGGAAACCCTCATCTCCAACTATTGCAAGGATATAAATTAGGAATTTGTGTTAAACAAAAATAGAATAAATGCCACTGGAACTCTCCTCGCATTCACAACTGTAATCCACCAGCGTCTTGGCCACATTATTAGTGCTAAGACAGACATAAAGACCATAGCAAATGAGTTCAACGCCCCCCCCTCTTCCAAAGTTCTTAATCCTTATTGACCCCTTCCGGTTGCTGTTTGTGATGTGTTTAACCGGTTTGGGCACAGTTGTGCCCCTGGTGTGCTCCCGACCTGCTCCAGTTAACATTGATGCAGATCTTCTTCTCCCACTTTAAAGTGCTTTCCTGAACATTTTGAATTCGAAATTTTTTTTTGGGGGTACTATTTAATTGTCACGTTTTGAACCGTTCAGCAGCTATGGGCTGACACTCGCACTGTACTGAGTCGCGATCCACAGATATCAGGGAATTGAACCCGGGTTCCCTCGCTTGCGAGGTGAGCACGCTAACCACTACGCTAAGGGACTTTACCCCAATGAGTGTTCAGCAGGCTCTTTGACCGCGGGGGATGTTCCAAGTGAGCTCAATCTGGTGTTCATTTGCCTAACTTGAGGCCTGCCCTCTCCCTCCGCTCAGTGAGTTCCAGCCTGAATTGCAGCTGTTTTTGTTCACGTATTGTTCCTCTCTTTAAGGATGAAAGAGTGGTGGATCCAAGTCTTGCTTCTCACAGGACCGCTCATCGCTGTCTACCTCAATATCCCTCCTCCCTATCTCTCATCTTCTATGTACTCATGGCGTATGGCAGGAACCTTCTTTTCCTTCAATGGGAACCACATATTTTACAGAGGTAAGGCATGTCCAAGAGGTGACTTGAGTATTTTTAAAAAAATCCACGACTGTTCGTGGGATGCTGTTGTGTGCAATTGGCTGCGGAGTTTCGCCCACAAAATATACCGTGAACTCACCTTACAGTATATTCTGTGAAGCGCCTCAAGATGCCTCAAATACATGATAAGATGCTGTATCAAATACAAGGCTTGTTGTTATTATCATTTAAATCGCCAGTGGCATTTGTTTGCGCATTTTTGTGCTTATCGATGCAAGGAATATCTGTGGGAAATGCAAATGGATTATTTTTTTCCTCTCTAAGTTCTTGCTGTAAATATTCCTAGGTCACACTTGTCAACTGACTTCTCAATACCAGTGAGAATTTCCCATTTCCCACACCAACCACCCCTGTGAATTCTAAATGAGATTAGCAATTTAGTGCCAATCAGTGTCCAATTATAGCCAATTTTTTGTTGCGGATTTTCATTTACTGGAGCCTGGATTGGGAGTCTTACAGGACTTCTAATGCTTTCAACGATCGCTGTGCAGCTGAACAGATCCATGCCTGAGACATGAAAGCCCCAAATCCCTGTCTTTTTTTGAGCAAACAGCGAAATTATGCCAAAAATTTAGAGATTGAAGTGTATTTGGGATCAGCTGAAAAGGCTTGATTAAAAGTTGTGATTATAACTAAAAGTAGCTTGTTGGTTTGTAAAACCAGAGGAACCTCTGATATGGCTGTACTTTCGGTCACCTCCTCCCCACCAGTGAATAATGCAGAAGGCACTTGCTGCTTCTGAGTTGAAAGATTTGTAGGTTCAAGCCCCACATCGGCACTTTGACCTCACAGATCAGACTGACACTCCCAATACAGTGCTGGGGGAAGCCCTACATTGTTAGAAATGCCGTCCTTCGGCTGAGATGTTGAGCTGAGGTCCTATCTGCCTATTCAGGGGGAGGTTAAAGATCTCATGGCACAACTTAAACAGAGAAGGGGATTTCTTCGATGTCCTGGCCAACAACCTTTCCAAATAAAATTGGTCGCTCACTTCATGACTGTTTGTGGGACTCTGCTGTGTGCATATTGGCTACTGTGTTTGCCTACAAAATACACATTCACTATACTTTAGTGAATTCCTATGAAGCACTTTGAGACGTCCTTCCAACACGAAAGGAGCTATATCAAATGCAAAGATTCATTATTTTTCTTCGTTTGTTTATACTGACTCTTCCGAGAAGGCCTGGATCTCAGACAGTGTTAAAACATCCTCTCTGCATTCTTATAGTGAGTTGCCTTGATCTCTGTGCATTATATTTCAGATTCGAAGGCTGCAATTGGCAGTTCAGACACGGTGATTCTTTTACATGGCTTCCCAACATCGAGCTACGATTGGCACAAGGTAAGGAGCGGAGCAGAAAACAAGCTCAAGGTGTTTGGTCAAACTGGCAAAGAATGTTAAAGTACTGCAACAGGTAATCTGGTCCGTCAAGTTGATGGTGATGCCTTTATCCACATGAACCACACGAGAACTGTGTGCTTAACCAGTTGAAATCGCGTGACTTGCCATTGAGAGCACTGTCTAGCTTGCATAGCTAGGACCACCCTGCCTTTGACTTGCAGTGTAAACAGGAAGAAAGTTTCATATTCTAATAGCCTTCTGTGTAACAACAGGCACTTTGCTGCCATAAATTTACCTAGAAAACTGAGCTTGCTTAAACATTTCTACAATAGCAAATTTAAATGGAAATGTAAAATATTCACATGGTTATTGATGTTTAAAATCTATTCAAATATTTATTTGGAATTTTAAAAAAAATTGATCATAATGAGTAAAAATATTTTGGAGGTGGTGGGGGGAGGATTATTATCGGGTAAAACAAGTCACTGATCGGCCCAAGTATTTTAGGGATGGAAGGAAGGAGACAATAAAAATCTTATAAAGTGTATTTTGTTTCAGATATGGGAAGCCTTGACTCAGCGGTTCAGTCGAGTTATCGCACTGGATTTTCTTGGCTTTGGCTTCAGCGATAAACCTGTGAGTAGGAAGTCGCCACATTGCATTAACCCTTCAGCTCCTCTGAAAAATACTTAATAATAATCCTTGCATTTGATATAGCGCTTTATCACATCATTGAGACGTCTCAAACTGCTTCCAGAATAGATTATCAAGTGGATTGACTATCTATTTTGTGGGTGAAATGCAGCAGCCAATTGCGCACAGCAGTGTCCCATAAACAGTCATGAATTGAGTGACAACATTTGCAAAAATATTTGAAGGGCTTATTATCCCCATTGAGCGATCTGTCAATCGACTAACACTCTGGATCCTTCGTACTGCGAGGCAAACAGAGGCATGTGGAGTAAGGAAACTTGCCTAAGGTTTTGCCCTGCCCGGGAATCGAAACCGGGTCCTCTCGCTTGTGAGGCGAGTGCTCTAACCAATACGCCACAAGACTCCACTATCTGTTGGCTTAGACTAGATTATAGATTAGCCTAATGAGTACAGATGGTTAAGATAAACATGCAGCATTTTAGCTGAATAGCAAAATAGCTGAATAAACAATCAGGTTAGCTATTCAGCCTATTTACAAGTTTGTGACTGATTTAAACGCAACCCCAACATTTTGTGGTCTTTCATTTTAAATTAGCCTAAACCTTTGTATTCCCTCACAGAATTTGACCTGTAAAATGCCCTTGAAAGCCAAAGATTTGGATTAAGATGATTAAGAATTAAATTCAATCTTATTTCGGGGGCTGTTTTTCTTCCGTTCTTATAAAGAGCCTGCAGAAAACTGGCTTAAAAATTAAGGCAAATATTCCCAAATTAGCATTGTATGAAATATTACCAGACCAGACTTGTTTCACCTTGAAAAAGGAAGTGTTACTGAGTATCTCTCATGCTCGTCCAGATGGACAGTGTTTTCAGCCACTAGGCCCCGAAACTCTGGCACACTCTTCCTCTACCCGGCGTGGAGGGCGCTTTAAAAGTGCAAGTTGTTGTTGTCGTTGAGTGTGGGATCATGTATGCGGACTGGTATCCGTGTCAATGATGGGAATCTTGTGATGGACAGGTATAGTGACTGCTTAATAATACAAAAACAGCAACAACTTGCATTGATATAGCGCCCCCTCTTGCAGAGTAGCGTCCCAGAGCGCTTCACAATGGCGGAGCAGGACCCTGAGCTGGGGGGGAGGGAGGCGGTGACTGTAGGCACGGTCGAAGAGGAAGGTCTTCAGGCGCGACCAGAAAATGGGGAAGGAGGGAGCAAGGTGGAGGGATAGAGGAAGAGTGAATAGATCTATAGTGACAGAGAGTGTGGGGGTGGGGGGGCGCTTGTTGGGGAAGAGAATGGACAGCGTTCTCAACTGGAGTTAATTTTCTGTGGAGACAAAGATAAGACGGAAGAAAAAAAANTATTTGTTAGAACGGGTCAACTCCCTCAAGACAACCACGTAAGTTCAAATGTGCAACTTTGCTGCAGTCTCACGGCACGATAGAGAGTGTACGGCCACATGTCAAGTGTACAGGAGGCAGTTTGGCTTCAGCGGAGCTTTTAACAGTTATTTGGGGGAAATCCTTTGATTTAATCGCCCCCTTGTGATTTTAATAAGGCTTAGAAGGTTTTTCTTCAGGATCAGCCAGTAAGTCGTCCTGAGCGGCTGCCTATTGATGCCACAAGAGCTTGTGCCATTCTGCTCTGGTCACTGCCAGCTCCTGCTGCTACTTGTCCATTGTATCGTCACTGTTCGGCAGGGAATCATCCCACTCAGCTCCTGCTAACCGTGCAAACCAAAGCCCTCGCGGGTAGGGTGGTCCTAGCTGGATAAATGGCAGGAAAGCTTTCTAGACAGCGATGTCAGCAGCAAGCTATGCGGTTTTAGCAGGTCCGACTCCAGCAGTTACCCCCGACGCACACTCTGGGGTCTCCCCAAACCTGGCCTCTTGCCAACCTGCGCCTAATACTTTCCGGAATTAGGTAAGCAGGATGCGTCCCTCCAGGGAGAGAGTGCGCATTCCATTCCAGCAATCTTATCTCTGGGATTTCCATGTGTAGGTGGGAGGCTTGGAATTCTCAGCTTGGTTTGGATACTCTTGAGCACGGTGATGAGTTTCCGCATGTGTCAGACACTCAGCTAACCCCCCCCCACCCCGCCCACACCGCCCCCACACCCAAAAAAAAACACTGCTCTATTCAGACCTTCCTGTGGGATGGTCCAACCATGTCAAGCTTTGTCTGGGTACATGACCTGTTCCCGGCTGGTATTCATTCCATTGCCCTCCCTGGGGTGACCTACTCTTCCATCCCGTGGCATATTTGCTCTGCCTGTCACAGCCTTCTCTCCCTGACCCTGTGCTGCTGCTCGCTGGCTCGCTGTTCTTTTAGTGCACTCAGTCCTTCGGATAAGATGTTAAACCGAGGTCCCGTCTGCTTGTTCGGGCGGATGTTAAAGATCCCAGGCACTATTTGAAAAGAGAAGGGAGTTTCTCCTGGTGTCCTGGCCAACAATCCCCCCAAAATAAACTGTGGGACATTGCTGTGCACAACTGGCTGCCGCATTTCGCCCACAAATACACAGTTTATCAATAATAGCAACAACATCTTGCATTTATGTTAACGCTCATGGTATGGAATTTGGTTCAGGACCCCAGTATCCTGTGAAGCGCTTTGAGACATCTCAATGACGTGATAGGTCGCTATATCAAATGCAAAGATTATTATTATTATTAATAATAAAAACCAAGAATGTTCCGTAGATGTTGTTAGCGTGCAGAATTGCTTGGGAAAGTGCGGAGGCAGTAACCTGGGTGTCACGGCGACCTGTGTTTGCTTTTTTTGCTTTACTTAGAGGCTGCACCGATACTCCATCTTCGAGCAGGCGGACATTGTGGAGGGGCTGGTGGTGAAGCTGGGCTTGGCTCAGCAGAAAATCAACATTCTGGCTCATGATTATGGTGACACAGTTGCACTGGAACTGTTGTACAGGTTGAAACCATAAAATACAACGGGGTCAGATTAGCTCGGTGTCTGTGTGCGTCTGCCTGCGTCTGTGTGTGTTATGTGGTGTGCGTAGGTGTGTGCTTATGTGTGTGTGTGGAAGGGGATATGCGGGGAATGGGTTGCTGTGTTTATGGGAAAGCTGATAAGGTCGCTGGCTGGAGTCTTCCACTGCTGTAAATGAGCATTGATAGCACATCTCTTGTAAAGGATGCATTAGGGTTGAAAATGCAGCATTCGCCAAACAAAAGTCAAAACACTGAGGAAACTTATCTAAGCTTCCAGCCTGTCCAGGAATCAAACCCGGACACTCTCGCTTGCGAGGCGAGCACGCAACTTAATCCTACGTGTAGAAATTTACACTTCCAATGACTGATTATTATTTTTTCTTCTGTTTTAGGCATAAACATGCTAAGCCTGGACACTTAATGATCAATAGTCTGTGTTTGTCAAATGGAGGTACAGTGTTCTATTTCTGTTTTATCTCATTACAATTCATTACTACAGCTTTTACAAAAACCTATTGCCTTTTCCTCCACCTCCTGCATACGTAATGTTCTTTGTGATCATTTTAGGTATTTTCCCAGAGACTCATCATCCGAGGTTTGTGCAAACGGTTCGTATTGGATTTCATTACCTCTTTTCCCATCCTCCCCAATTTTTAAAGGTTTAATAGAGGTGTTCAACATGATGAGGGGTTTGGGGAGAATAAATGAGGAGAAACTGTTTCCACTGGTGGATGGGTCGGTAACCAGAGGACACAGATTTAAGATAATCGGCAAAAGAAACAGAGGGGAAATGAGGAGAATAATTTTTTTACGCAGCGAATTGTTACGGTCTGGAATGCGCTGTCTGAAAAGGTGGTGGGAGCAGATTCAATAATAATTTTCAAAAGGGAATTGGATATTTACTTGAAAAGGAACAATTTGCAGGGCTGTGGGGAAAGAGTGGGGGAGTGGGACTAGTTGGACAGGTCTTTCAAAGAGCCGACACAGGCACGGTGGGCCGAATGGCCTCCTTCTGTCCTGTAAGATTCTATGATTCTAATTTTTCTGCCGGGATCGTATCCGAGAGAGTTAGAACCTTGGGATGATTTTCCTCTCCTTAACACAGTACCCGCACCCGTCTCAGGTGAGATCCATCAACGCATTGAAAACAGGATGAAACCTGGGACCCATTAGGGCACAGCTCGTCACTAAGTCACTAAGCCACGTGCACAATTTTGGAAACTCTGAAGTAAATTCCACGTTCACACGGTTGAAATCAGTTGATCGCAAGAGGTTTGGTTGACGATGTCTTCCCAGACAATTTGATGCTGCTCTTTCTATTTCAGCATCACATTTTATAAATCAACTAACGTCCCTTTCCAGTAGCCCGTTACACTTGTTGATCACCCTCTGTGTAGGGAAAATATTCCTGGAGTCTGCCCTAAAATTGCCTTTCGATCATATTAGTCGTTTCTTGTAGGACAGAGTGTACATAACTGTTGCTGCTGTTTGTAAGGAATTAGAGTATTGATCCACAGGGTTAGATATACCGTATAACGCATAAATAAAGTACGTTTTCAATTATTGTTTGTTTCTTGTTCACACCAGCTACTCAAAGACAGCGGGTTGTTGTCATCAATCTTCACCAGACTTATGAACCACTACTTGTTTTCCAAAGGGTGAGTTTCGTATCTGTACATGTGACTTGAAACAACAGCAAACTGTTCCTTTTTGACCAAGAACCTGCAAAGGCACATTGTCCATTCCAACAACAACAAATTACATTTGTATGGCGCCTTTCACCTCGGGAGGACGTCCCAAGGTGCTGGACAGTCGCATCAATCCAGGTGCACAGCTCCACACTCCGTGACACGTGCCATCCCAACTAGGTGCGGGCTTTATGTTTGATTTGATTTTCCACTTGTCCTTGCACAGTGCGCCGGTGAGAGAGCACAGTGGTGTTCTGCTGCCAGGCCTCCTGCCTTGTGAGAGGGGATAGACGACAGCAGCGTTCCGATATCTGTCTGGTTAAGAGTGCACACCGTATATTCTGCGATGCCTTCTGCGGACGGGCCTTCTGCCACTCTGCCCCCACCTTCTGGAGCTCCATCCCGGAGTCCTTCCATCTCGCCCCCTCCCTTGCCTCCTTCAAGACCCATCTCAAGACCCTGCTCTTCGACCTTGCTTTCGATCACCCTCCTTACTCCCCCCCCACCCCGCCCTCCACCCTCCCCGATCCAGCAAACTCCGGGTCCATAAGCTTCAGCTCTATCCACTACACCATGGGAGCTGCTCTAATTAAACCGTTTTAGCTATGGGTTACCTGTAAAGGGTTGAATTATTATATATTTATGCATACTTTTAAATCTTTAAAAAAAACTAAGTCAAGGCATAAGCTTGCACCTTGAACAGCATTCCCTAGCGCTAGCACTAGTTACTAAGTTTTTGCTTTTAAATAATGGCTGTAAATAACACGGGTGCAAGCCCTTGGATTAAGGGCGTAGTTTTGACAGTTTTTTTTTAAAACCCCGAGCGATGCGAAAAAAATGCATCTTAATTTAATTTCAACAATAATAATCCTCGCATTTGATATAGAGCGCCTGATCACGTCTTCGCGATACGATACAAAATTACGCTTGTGAAGGGCTTTTCACGTCGGGAGGACGTCCCAAGGCGCTGTGTCACAGCAGATGTCTCAAAGCGCTTCACGAAATATACTGTAAACACACTGTAAAGTCAATCGACTGTGAATGTTGTGGGCGAAACAGTGAGGCCAGGTTAAAAACAGTTTCTTGGCGTTTTCCAGGATCAGTGCGGTGTTTGGCCCCTACACACAGCAGACAGACGCAGAGTACTGGGATATGTGGACCGGTGTCCGTGTCAATGACGGGAACCTCGTGATGGACAGGTATTTTACAAAAACAACAACAGCTTGCATCTTTATATAGGCCCCTCGCGCAGGGTAGAGTCCCAGAGCGCTTGACAGTGGCGGAGCATGGCGCTGAGGTGGGGGGGTTGGGGGGTGGTGACCGTAGGCATGGCCGAAGAGGAAGGTCTTCAGGCGCGATCCGAAGCTGGGGAAGGAAGGGGGCAAGGCGGAGGGGCAGAGGGAGAGCTTTGTGGCGTAGTGGCTGAAAGCGCGGCCATTGATGGTGGAACAGAGGATACGAGGGACATGCAGGAGGCCGGAGCCAGTTGAGTGGAGGCAAACGGGTAGTGGGTTGGGGAGCGGTGGGGAGGTGAGACGAATGTGAGATCTTGAAATCGATCCGTTCGGTGATGGGAAGCCGGTGGAGCCTGGCTAGAACTGGTGTGATGGGGGTTTGTTGCGTGTGAGTATGTGTGCGGCGAAGTTCTGGATTAACTGGATTTTGTGGCTAATCTTTTGTTGAGGGCCATAATTTCGAGCGGTTCCTTGTTCAAGGGCCGCTCTGAGCAAGGAAGCTGCAGCGGGGAAAGATGGGTCTGTACCTCCGTCTGTACCTATAATTCCGAGTTCGTTCAGCAGCTCATTTCAGTCATTCCAACCGTGGGAAGGTGTCAGATTCGGAGGCCAGACATTTCTGGTGGTGTTAGTCTGAAGGTCATAATCTTAATTTTTAAGATCATGAAGAATTTTGGTAAAATCCTTAAATTCCGCGCACCCAGTGAGAAATGGAGAATTGCCAGACCTCAAAGCAGGAACCCTCCCAAGTGTGTGGGACGCTGCTGTGCGCAATTGGCTGCCGCGTATCGCCCACAAAATGCACAGTCAATCCACTTTGCAGTATATTCCGTGAAGCCCTTTGAGACGTCTCAACGACATAAAGAGCTATTTATCAAACGCGAGGATTATTATTATTATTAAGTGAGGCTATCGAGAGATGTTTATTAGGAGGAGACACCTGCTCATGGCCACTCCATTATTAATAAAAGAGAAGACATAAGTATTTTAGTATTGACGTGAAGCTTCGAGATCCAGGAACAGTGAACAACAAATATAAAGCTTGGCATTCTCTCCCGGGAAGAAAATTATTTGATTCCGTTCATTAACATTCCTCATGGCTGTTTCACACTGTCATATTAATAATCATTGCATTTGATATAGCTCCTTATCACGTCGTTGAGACGTCTCAAAGCGCTTCACAGAATATACTGTACAGTGAATTGACTGTATATTTTGTGGGCGAAAAGCGAGTTAAAAATTTAAAGTTAGAGCATTTAAGAAAAAGGTTTAACTTGCCAATTTCTGCTGCTGCTGTAACGCTTGGATGTTGTCGCATTTTATTTTGTTCTTTTCCTCAGTATTTTGCAGTTTATCAATCAGAGATCAAAGTACAGAGATCGCTGGGTAGGAGCCCTGAGTTCTACAGCTATTCCACGTGAGTGCATCTTGGACTACTCAGTGAGAGAACATGAGTACTAAATCCTAAAGGATCCACTTCGCAGTCATTAAATTCTTTACTGATGAGTAAATCCTTCGCATAATGTGTTTTTTCGTGTGGTCAGCCGTGTGGGTGTCTGACACATGCGGAAACTCATCACCGCGCTTAAGGCTCTCCAAACCAAACTGAGAATCCCACGCATCCCACCTATACATGGAGATTCTAGGGATAGACTGTTGGAATGGTATGCGCTTTCTCTCTCCCTGGAGAGACGCATCCTTCTAATCTAATTCTGGAAAGTATTAGGCGCAGGTTGGCAAGAGGCAAGGCTTTGGGGAACCCAGAGTGTGTGTTGGGGTGATTGCTGGAGTCTAACCAGCTAAACCCTCACAGCTTGCCATTGGTGTCATTGTCTGGCAAGCTTTCCCGCTGCTTGTCCAGCTCGGACCACCCTCCCCGTTAGGACTTTGGCTTGCAGGGTCAACGATTAGTTGGGGGTTCAGCATCCTAACATGGTACTGAGTCATAAAGACAAGGAAAGTCAGGTTCAATCATTGGTCTGTCAGTCAGGGTAATGGCGAGGTTGGCCCCAGGGGATAAAATGAATCAGATATCCCACTTGTTCAATCACACCGACTGATACTTACAGACTCAAATAGCAAGTGAGCCTCAACATGTTGTTTGTGTGCGTGTGGTGCCTGTTTAGCTGATTTTCTGTACTATCCCTGGAGTTACAAGTTTCTCTCCGAGCTGGATCACAATGCATGTATCTGTAGTCACGATTTATGTATTTTCCTCGCTCTGTAATATATTTACCAAACCCTGTGAACACGAGTGCATGTTGTTTTATTGCAGTGCATTTAATCTACGGACCTCTGGATCCTGTGAACCCTCATCCTGAATTTCTGAATCTCTATCAGTAAGTGATCATCTTATTATTATTATCATTTTGCCTATGTTGGATGCAAATCTTAAATGTTTCACCGTGGAATGAAAGTGTTCTTGACTTTGCAGTACCTAGTTATAGGACAACTATAGTTTCCTTTATGTTCAGTGTTGAATATTTCTTGGTGCACTGGATCACAGGTAAGAGTGCAACCAACTAAGACATGGGATTTGTTGGATTTCTGCCCTGTGCACATCTTCAGTGCTATGTTGGAAGATGTTTCCAGCACTGCCTTTCCCATTTTACCGATTGGACTTCAACAAAAACTACTTCAACAAAAACTAGTGAGTTCGGATCATCAGTAATGGTATCCGGCTGTGCGTTTGTGAGATGATCTGCCATTTTCTGACGCGTAACATTGACGTTTGGTTGGACTTTAGGTGTTTAGATGGAGTCCTGTACCTTAGTGGTTAGAGCACTCGCCTTGCAAGCGAAAGGACCTGGGTTCGATTCCCGGGATAGGTGAAACGTTGGGCAAATTTGGTCATTCGATCCACTATGGTTTATGGGACACTGATGGTTCGCAATTGGCTGCCGAGTTTCACCCACAAAATATATAGTCAATTCACTTTGAGGTGTATTCTGTGAAGCTCTTTGAGCCGTCTCGTAGATGCGATTAGCCACGATATTCAACATGGGGAGGGGAAAATAATTATTATACAAGTTGTACTGAAAGTAGTTCCCCCATATATTCTCCTTTCATGTCGGTATTATGCTTATTTCTTTCCATGGGCAAATTCAGATTGAATGGGCATTTATTTTACCAGCCAAATTATCTAAATGTTTGAAGGGATTTACTGAATAGGTTCTACAGTACTAAATAAGATGGTGTTACGCATTTTTTTTTAAAAAAAGTAATAGTTTCTAATTATTGAATGTTATTTACTGGTTGATGATTAACATGCTTGGAAAGCAGGTTGAAATCTAGTGGGTAGATTTGAACAAAAATATCCCTCCACGCTAGACATAACCAAACAAAAATAATTTGGTCACTCGATCCACAACTGTTTGTGAGACACTGCTGTGCGCAATTGGCTGCCTCGTTTCCCCCACAAAATACTTTACGGTGTGTCCTGTGAAGCGCTTTGAGACATCTGGAAGAGGTGAAAGGCGCGATACCAAATGCAAGGATTATTATTATTAACCTCCACTTCCTTTCAACGCAACAGGAAACTGGTACCTAAATCTACCGTCTCGGTTCTCGATGACCACATCAGCCACTACCCTCAGCTTGAGGACTCATTGGGTTTCCAACAAGCCTACATCAATTTCATCAACTCCTTCTGACCATGGAACTATTATTTAAACTGCGACAGTAAACAACAGCAACTTGAGCTTTGACCATTATGGTTGACGAGTAAATGTTCAAAAGCAACTTTTATTTTAAAGGGATTGTTACTTAAAACAAATGGAGCTTTTGTTCTTCAAGCTTTAAACCATTGTTGAGTAATACTTTACTTGCTCTGTTACTTTACTCTGTTTACCAGTTACATGTCTCACCAGCTTCAAATCCTCCTTTCATTTTAGTAGAATAACAGGATCACTGAGAAGAACATCTCACGAAAATAATATGCAATTGGCTCAATGCTCCACGAGTTAATACCTTCATTTGTAGAATTAACTGAATCCTTTTTATAAGGAGTGATTGAGGATATAAAGGTGATGCAAAGCTAGATTTACACATAATAGACTTGGTTAAGCAAGTCAGGGGTAACATGGGATTTAGTAAAGATTTTCCTTATATCAGGTAGACAACAAGGGGATTGAACTATATTTAACAGGGATACAAAAAAAAATTGTTCAGAATAAATCCACAAATTACATAATATTTTATCCCCCCCGTTGTTTTCTAGATTCTTGGAATGCAGGTTTATTCCGCAGCTTAGTAGTAAACTGTTTATGTGGGCTATTGTTTATTTTTGTAGAATTAACTTTACTCAAAAATCTACCAAAGATGTAACATAGCAGTTGCCATTCAGCCATGAATTGAAACCATTATGTGCACGGCATTTGGTAAACTCACAGAAGTACTGCATTGTCTGTTTGATGACCCCGACACAAGACGTACATAGTTCTCTTGCAAACCAAACTGATTTTTACTCTGCTTCTGAGACCCATCGAATCAATCACACAATTAACAATATTACAGTCTGTCAACTCAACTGTGTCTAAATTGGCTGCTGTGTTCACAAATGGTCACTCCACTTTACAGTAAACCCTGTGACGAACGGTTGAGAAGTTTTGATGGCATGTTAAAGCTCTATGTCTAATAGAAGTATTATATCACAATATTTTATTGACTTAGTAATGTAGTTACATATGATTCGAGTCTAACCAGAACATTTGATTTGCTACAGAATTATTTTCTACATCAGCAACATTTAAATAAGTCTTAATAAATCAAGAATTTGGCATTAATTTTGAGTATTAAATGGTTGCAAAGACATGTTAAATCTTACAGCTCACTACAGGTTGACATATTTTGCAACAGATTTTGCAGTTCTGCTCATCAAATGCACAAAAGACTGTACATTTCAAAGTATATATTAGTGATTGTTGTGCTATCAGGGTAGAGTCCCATCTTTTCCAGTAAGGTGTACGGCTATACTGTGCAAGTCGAACAAAAGATTAAATATTTCAAATCAAACCATCTTGAAATTGTTTTCAGAAATTTGTATGCATTACCAGTAAGCAAATAGAGTCAAATGATCAACATAGTTCATCTTTATTTTATGCAAATAAAGCTTCACAAAAAAGTGTCTGCTTTTCATCCTTGGTGACCATTTCTCATGGCTTCATCTTTTAACACATACAGCAAACATTTGCTAGTTTCATAAGATGTGGACACATTATTAGCAAAAGCCTTTGACAAAGTGCCATTTCGCGACTGGTATTCCAGATGAGCCAAGAAAAATAATGTACATTTTCAAGTTCCTGGCTTCTTTTATAGCATCTGTTTCTGCAAATAATGCCGACCTTCTTTTCCCATGTTATGGGATTTCTACAATCTTAAGGTTAATTCAATTTTATGACACAATTTACATTTATGTGGTGCCTTTCACGTCAGGGCGACGACATCTGAACACTCGTGACAAGCTCCTGCCATGAAAGTGTCAACTGTGTGAAGTTTAGATTCTAGAAATTCCGGGACTTGGGAGAAGAATGTCAGCATTCTATTGTCTCCCAAGACAAGCGGGGGGTGGGGGGGTGGGGGGGGAGAAAGGGCCCCCCAAAAAAACAGCTTAAAAATATATACCGTGCAAAAATTATGTTCATCACTTAAGAGATGGTTTGGCAGTTTTTCTTTTACTGTTGTGCTGGGAAGCAAACCATCACTGAAGATAGGTCCTGACGTTAAACTCCACAGTAAAGCTTTACGCATGAAAGAAACCCACGGGGATTTTCAAATGTTTTTACCTAAATTGGTCTTTCAGTCAGGCAATTTAAAGTGTACATCATTTCTTGAAAGGGGGGTGGGGGTGTGTGGAGGGGGGAAGAAAAGAAAAATCAACAAGTTTAACCAACAGAAATCAGGATGACATCCACTGGAGTCTCGGCGTCACTTCTGACGGTCACTTGCATGGTCACCCCGTCAGCCAGAGCCAGTCGGGCTCGCAGAAGCACATCATGGCCTCCTCTGAAGACACCTGCAATAAGGAGTTTGGTTGTGAAAAGTGTTAACGTTTAGCGGAAGGAAGCAGTGAGAACGTGAAGGTCAAAATAAGTTGCATTAGATTCATTCGGATGCCAATAAACCTATAGAAGCACTGAATTCTATAGAACAGAAGGAGGCCATTCGGCCCATTGTACCTGTGCCAACTCTTCCAAAGAACTAATCAATTAGTCCCACTTCCCCGCACTTTCCCGTAGCCCTGCAATTTTTTTCTTTTTAAATATATATGTAGCAGTGCATTTCTAATTTGTAATTCCACTTGTAAATACAAGTTAGATGAGCGGGAATCTTTTATTAGTTAAAAAGCTGTGGTTTCCTTTAGACATGGGAAGTAAGGCAGTCTTTAGACTATTCTATTGGGAAGCAAACAATTAGTGATTTAATAATCAAGATGTTACATGGATTTGAGGGCCATTTTCAAATGTTCCATAATAGAATTAACATATCCCCAGATAAGAAAAACTGCTCCATTCAGTGTATAATTTTTTACTCATGAATGAATGCAGCCTGAAGATCATATATATCTCACAACATCCCACGTGCAATGTTTAGGGGTTATTCCATGTATATGTCTGTTTGGTGGAAAGTGGCAATTGGCAAGATGGCTTGGAGACAAGGGTAGTTATTCTCTTAAGTGTAACTTTCCGACGTGAAGGGCTCTGTACAAGTGCAATTTGTTGTTGTTGTAGTTTGTTCTAGTTACTGTTAAGTAGGCCACCAATGCATTGACACATTCAATCCTGTATTAGCATCATTTCAAAATGAGGGCATTGCCACCGGCATTAGCATGTACAATAGCAGTCACTGAGCATTGTGGGGTCATCCCTCTTTATGTATAATAATAATAATCTGTATTTGATACTGTGCCGTTAAACTTACCTGCCAGGCACAATGTGTGGGCGTTTTTGTTCTCTGGCACCTTGTCTGACCTCTCACATGGCTGCATACCAAGGAAACTAATTATATTATTCACAGCCTCTACAATGAAAATAAAAAAAAACAACTTATTTGCCAGTTATACATCAAATAGAAAGAGTAGACAAAATAGAACTGACAGCTTCCCCTGAACAGATGATATAACTGACTAGCTAAAATCTGTGTTCAGCAATTCTTTAGCGAATAAAGGGGACTTGACAATTCTCAAACCCATTTGAGATCTATGAAATGAATGTCCAAAAATATTTAAGAGTCTGACACAAGTATCCCATTGCCCCTTTACCTTCCCTCCAATCTTTTTCACTGTTTACACTAAATCCATCACATTGTCATTGGTAATGACCTTGGCTCCTAGAATTCCTTGCCTCTTATCCTCTGATAGAAGTGCCTCCATTCTTGAAGCAGGGACAGAATACAACTCAGCACAAAAGTCGATCTCAATGCCTTCAGCTACCGCTGGACCTTAAAGAAACTGTACAGCAGGAGCAGGCCACCATTTATTACACACTTACCATCCAGTGTTTTCACAGAAGAGAGTGCAAACGTTTCCTCTTTCTCAAACTCCTCACCCACTTCATCCCATGCAGCTGTAAAGTTAGGTTTCAGCACCTTCTGTATGTGATCAGATACAGTCACCTCCAGGTCCTCCAACTACAGCATAGAGATAGAAGGATCAGGTCAATCTCACAGCAGTCTGCACATTTGCTAAGCTGACCTTTTGTTTTTGTGTCAGCCGGGTGGGTGCGGAAACCCATCATCGTATCCGAACCAAACTGAGAATAATATAATTCCGCACCTAAACATGGAAATCCCAGAGATAGATTGTTGGAATGGAATACGCTCTCTCTCCCCGGAGGGACGCATCCTGCTTAGCTAATTCCGGAAGGTATTAAGACGCAGGTTGGCAAGAGCCAAGCCTTAGGAACCCCAGTGTGTGCGTTGGGGGTACAGCTAGAATCTAACCAGCTAAAACCGCTGTCGGGCAAATTTAAACGGTTCTCAGTAATTAAAATACATTTTAATTGTGACTATTAATATTAGCAGTACAATTATTTTTAACTGTGCCCTCATCTAAGAGGCTGCATTGCATGCTTTTTTAAAAAATATATAATCTTTAGCAATATATCTACTTGAACCTTTGGTCATTATTTTTACTCGGTGTTAACCTTGCCACGTAGAGTTTGTACAGGGTGACCAACAAGTCGTGTTATCTACCCTATCATCTAAAAACAACAAAAATATCATAATTTCCTTAAGACTTATTAGACATTGCAATAGTATCACGACTTTTTGGTCACCCTGTACAAGGTGCACACATGGCTTTGTGCTTTACTTACTTACCACATACTCATCATCATATCCATCAACTTCCGGCAGTCCAGTGTTGGGATCACAGTCTCTCACTATGAATTTCATGGTGCAGCTAAATGTGCAGGAAACTAGGGAATAACCACAAACGGGTCTTTAGAATGGATAATCTCCCAATATTTTCACTATACTCACACTCAGCAATGATGGCGAAAAATCTTACCTTCACTATAATTGAACAGATGAACACAATCCTTAGCGTTGTGTGAAAATACTGGGTTGCAAAATAACAGGCGCATTCACGTTTATACAGCATCAGATTTGTACAGACTGAGGGGGCCTATTAGGGTCAGGGCACTGTTATTTTTGAGTACTGTAACCTAATTTTGAATCAGCCCAGAAATCTGAGTTAAAAGTCCTTTTGCTATGGAGATATAGAGACCGATAGGGGTTTTAAGCAAACTTTTTTTATGGGTTGGGGGCGGGGGCTTGAAGACTTAACAATGGGGACTCACTATTCAACTCTTAGTGGCTATGGCTTCATAAAACAGAACATCGTATAATACAGCATCAATGGAAAGCTCATTCAGAGGTCACAAGGATTACTGAAGGTGTTCTTCTGGAGTTCGGGGGTGAATGTGGCAATGAACAGTGAGCTTGATCTAGAGTCTAACCCCCCCCATACCTGACCAACATATAGATACCGAGTTCCCAAAGTAGGAATTGCCAAGGGTTGACATCCATTCATCTTAGGAGTGTAAAACATGTACTGGATGTACAGAATGTAACAAGAGTTGTAGAATAATAAGTTATCTGTCCATCAGTTGGAAAGACACATCACTGTAGCAATACTGAGGGATATTCACCTGCTGTGGGGTCATCTTCAGGCAGCATCACCAAAGTATAGCAGGAACCAGGTTGGTTAAAATGAAGAGCTGGTGCTGCCACATAATGAACCACCTCATAGGCATCTGATGGCTCCATCTGGACTGTAATCTTCTCCAGTAACTGGTCATTCAGAGTATTGGTACAGTCAAACTGTAGGAAAGCAATAAGAGGTTCAGTTTCGAAAGAAACCAATGAAACTCAATTCTGCTGACCATTTTTGCTAACACATTTACAAAAAGGCCACACCAATCAACCCCCAAATATTCATTTGTTCACCAACAGTTCCATGATCCTTACAATAATACGGGATTTTCTTCAACCAGCACAACTGAAAGTAACAAAAACATTTTCTGTCCCCAATAAGGTGGACTACCAAGTGCTCTGCGACACTATCCTGCATGAAAGGCGCGATATAAACGCAAGCTGTTGTTAGAATCCACTGATACAATCACCCAATGTTGAACACATCCCATCACGACCAACAGATCTAAAGCTTTCCTTAAACTCAAATACTCTCCAACCTTGCATGTTTTCCTCAGAATAGGATTGGTGAGAGGTGTTTAAAAGTTAAAGGCAGTGATTACCTGAAACACCATGTGTTGTTTGAATGTGTGCTTGATGCAACGAACCACATACTCAGTCTCTGCTTCAGTGAGCTGTACAGGTGCTGAGGACTTGAAGAGTGGGCCAAGGTGCTTGAATTCAGGAATGGCTGCCAGTTGCTCTGTACACGAATATTGAAAGCAGATGCGAGATAGTGTTCCTCGAACATGAAACATCCTCATACCACTATAAGGTACTAATTTCAAGAACAGTGCCCTACTACTACCAATGCGCATCTTAACCAATGAATTTTGTTCCATAGAGTTCACACCCAACACACCCACTCATGATTTAAATTGAGAAAATGATGCACAACGGTCTTTAATTGTTGCACTCACTTCATGGCTGTTTGCAGGACATTGCCGCCCACAAAATACAGTCACTACTTTACAGTATATCCTGCAAAGCGCTTTCAGACGTCCCATGACATGAAAGGCGCTATATCTAATGCAAAGACTATTATTATTACTCCGAGCACTGCAGAGATATAGAAAGTGATCTTGTGTCGACAAATCCCCCAGTAATAAAGCGCCAATCAGAGACATGTCTTATGATGAGATGAAAGACAGGAAACAGTAAAGGACAGCAATCCTACGGTTAGTTGTACAGCAGTATTGACCGAAGCCTAGCAGCTACTACACTGCCTGTCTTCTCAGCTGTGATGATGTGTGGGAACAATAAAATAAGGGGGAAAAAACAGACAACAATGGAGGATGGAAATCCAACACCAACAAGTACGTTGATATTCATCCACAATAATAATTTAGGACATTTGATGAATATAGTTGCTTTTAAATCAAGTATTTTAAATCCAGTAAATTACTGTTAAAATCAGAGATATTTGAAATGACTGGGACAGATTTGCAAGAATTGTATACTTAAGACTTTTGTATAAATCCCTTGATGAAACAATTATAGCATTTAGATTACCAGCCCATGCCGACCTCAGCAAAAAACAAGAGACTTATTCAGTGAATAATTCTACTGAGTAGCAATAAAGTATATTATGAATGTATGACTTTATGTATGATTGTAGTATTTTTCAATAAAAGTTGGAATAAAGTTACATATTTTTTTCCAAAATAAAAGTTGGAATAAAGCTTTTACGTAGCTTTATTTTAAATGGTGTGAAATGCATTTACCTTGAAATATGTCTTGACGTAATGGTGCAATCTTCTCTGGTTGCTTATTGGCAATAGGGGTCATTTCTGCAGAGATAAAAATACAGAGTAGATATAGTTTTGACAAATAATGGTGCTGCTTCACATACAGCAACACGGCTCCATAGATGCCAACTGCCCTATGATGTCTGGCCATTATTCATATGTAAAAAATAGATTTAAAAAAATAATAATTTGGTCACTCAATCCACGGCTGTGCGCAATTGGTTGCCGGGTTTCTCCCACACAATATAGGCAATTCACTTTACAGTATATTCTGTGAAGCGCTTTGAGACGTCTCGAAGACGTGATAAGGCGCTATATCAAATGCAAGGATTATTATTATTATATGTAAACCTAGATATTGACTGTCATACACCTCAGTCAAACCCAACTGATCTTTCTAAGAAGCTCACAAGCGCACACCTCCAACAGTGATGCTGGAATGTGATCAGGAGCAGAACCTCGGTTGAATTTTTTCTACCCTAATCCAGGAATGCTGCGGCCTATTGCAGCTCTATTTGTGTGACCTTGGGCGAGACCAGGTAACAGCCAAATCAGGGATCAAATTTAGTACTCTCTCGATCTGGATGCTTCAGTTTCTCACTGAATGAAATAGTTCCATTGTGTGAGCCTAAACATATTGCTATCTCATAAAATTCGAGACATTCTAATTGAAACACTGAAAAAATACAGTTCCATGTTTTCGAGAAACTTCTCGTTTTAATATGTCAGTCAACTAATGAACAGAAACATTTAAAACTTGCTCACAAGTAAGATTGTACCATCCCAGTGAATCATTTTCATTTGTAAGAAGTTTTAAAGGTAAGAGGTTACTTTGCTCTTTTCAGTGAGTAACTGAACCATGTGGAGGTGAGATGCATGGAATTCTCAGCTTGGTTTGGATACTCCTAAGCATAGTGATGGGTTTCCCCACGTGTCAGACACCCGACTGATCTCCAAAAACAACCCAAAAAAAACCATACCATTCTTCTGCTCAAGAGTAAGAGCAGTAGCCAAAGGCACGGACTTCATATCAAACGGTTTAATCGAAGGCTCCAGGGTATACTGATGCAAAGCTCTCTCCAGCCCAGGAATGGAAACAGACAAGCCTGTAAATCAACCACATTAAAATGACTTGAAGGGAGGGATTCATCATCTGCTTCTACTAAGAAATGGTAAAAAAGGAATGGTTCTATTAAATATCATTTGCAGAGTTGGATTCATGTCCACTTGAGCAAAACGATCTGGTCTAGAACCAATCCGTGATGCATGAATAAATATTGCAATAGCACGTTTTTAAATAAATCACAATTTTCCATTTGATAAAAATAAAAGGCCGATTGTTGGGAATCTGAAACAAATAATGACAACAAATTACATTTGTATAGCGTCTTTGACGTCAGGAGGACATCCCAAGGTGCTGGACAGACAGGGATTTGAAATTTGAAATAAAGACAAATGTTGTGACAAATGTTCACACCTAAAATGTTAACCAATCCCCCCCACCCACCAAAAATCAGGTTCAATCTGCTGTGCATTTTTATCATTATCTTTCTAGTCATGTTATGTGGAGCTGTCCAAAAAAAAGGTATCAAACAACATAATGATAGCTGTAACAAAATTGAAGAAGTAAACTGATTGTAATGTGAAATGTTGAGACAGTAAATAAATTATTCTTACAGGGAATTTGATAGATACTTGAAGAGTATTGGTATAGTAAAAATAATAAAAAAACACCTTACCACAAATGTCTGTTGAAGCAGATATATATATTATTGTATAGCTTTACTACTGTGATATTGGCATTATTTGCAGTGTCACAGATGAGCTGAAAATGCACTGAACTGGTCAGTCGAAACGACGGGTAGAATGCAAAGACCTGCAAGTAATATACATATAGTATATATAATTAAAATAATGCTACAGTGTATTTCTCACTCACCATTAAAGATGTATGCGGCGTTAAGAGCTTTCTGCCTCTGCTGTAATACATTCACGTAGAATGTTGCACGATCACGAACTTCATCATCAGAGTCCATCATACACCTGTCAGGTACAAGGTTTTAAATTAGATTTATACATTTGTCAGAGAACACAGTGAAACTGATAACCTGTCCCTGGGATAAATCGTCAACCTCACATAACTCAGCATTCAATATCACAGTGATTTCCCATAAGAAATGTTAATTACGATCCTCTGATAAATAGTCCCCCTGGATAGCTTGTAACTCATCAGTTTTTCACCCTTTGAGATGGTGTTTCAGTGTAAAATACTCTCATAACTTGTCATTTTATTAGATATTCAAATCCATGAGCAAATCAAGATTTGTTTTAAAAAAAGGAGTGAAAATGCCAGGCACAAGCATTATGAATACATAAAAAAAAACTTAAAAGAAGTTTAGAAACTTCTTTCCAGTGCCGAATCAAGTACCTGCACACGTAGGCATTCGTTTTACCTGTGGAGGTGAATGCTCGAGGATGTTCCACTCTCTTACCTTTGTAGGAGAACGAGGACACTTGGAAGTAGCTCCTCATTCTGGGCCCCAAATTTAGCCAAGGCACTGACAGCAGCTGAAACACAAATAACGGACACATTTTAAATAATTCAATGTTTTTTCTTTACATAGTTAGAATCAATAACAAATCATAAAAACAATGAACATGAATATATTTTGGATCATATGATGTAGTGCATTGTTTCCGTGATACATTTAAGCTAGTATCTCATGTCTGAGTTATTTATTTCTGCACAATTACCACTCTTTTAGACGTGCCTTTTATAGAGGGGATTTTCTATTTCCTGTACATTGCTACAAACTCGATTGTATTCCTTCTCTGCAAAGCCCTTTGGTACACTGAGTTAGCATAGCTCAACGGACAAAACAGCCTCCTTCTCCACTGCAACTTATATCAAGTGCCTGCAAATAGCAGTCGAAACAGGCATTTGACTATGGATTTCCATCTCTCTCGCTCTCCTTGGGGAAAACACAGCATCTTTTACATTGCCTGGTTAGGTTTGGGAACTCATGACAGGGTAGAGAGAAGTAAAGTTCTGACGAAAGGTTATCGACCTGAAACGTTAACTCATTTTCCTCTCTCCATAGATGCTGCCTGACCTGTTGAGTGTTCCCAGCGACTCTTGTTATTATTATAATGCTGAAAGTTGTTTCTGTAGATAATTTGAATGATGGAGATGATCAGTTTGTACCCATTCTAACTTACCAGCTCTGACAGCCTCATTCTCTAACACCACTCTGTTGAATATAAACCGGATGTATTTGGATGGTGCCGGGGTCTTGGGAGCCTCCCTGCCCAGGAGGTGGAGGATGCGAGTGGCCAGAACAGTGTGCTCGCAGTCTTCGATAAACTCACACAGGTGGGCCAAGCCGGTTTCCTTACTCTCTGGATTTTCCTCAATGATATTGATTATGCAGTCGACAATGGCGCGCTTGTAATCAAATCCTCCCTGAGCAGACAAAACACAAGGGAAATGAAACGATCACAATTTAAATGGAGTAACGTGAATAAAGTTAAGAGGGCAAGTTACCCCAGAGGGTTACTTACTGCACACACCCTAAAGAAGGTACTAATTAAGGTTTCATTTTGTGCCAGCAAAGCTAGAAACTCTTAAGGCAGGACAGCCAACAGGAACTTATCGTCATGAATTAAGAATTGGAAGATTCATCTTCAATTCTGATCTTAATTAACTGCCACAAATTTTAATTTAATACCATTTTAAACACAGAAGCATTACAAAGTCACTCCAGTATTTTTAGCATCAGGCAGCACGGCCAGACCTGAGCCAACAGACTAATAGAATGGATCAATATGGCTTATTGCAATGTGCTCCCACAGTAAGAAAGCTCCTTATACAGACTTACTTATTTTTAATACACGTCCAACAAACCATTTTACTGCAGACTACAGTGTTCTTTTAAAAAAAAGCAGTATTGTGTAGCATTCATTTTAAGCCTAGCTATTATTGTTGATGTTTCAAAAACAAATTTAAGAAATGAGGACAGGCATAAATGCCGACCATTATTTAGTCAAACTAAAGGGAGGAAAAGAGAATTACGGAGGCAGCGATTCATTTTTCCTACAGATAAGAGATTAAACTATTTCAACTGAAGGTGGATTAAGGTGCTCCAGCACACACACATTTCACAGGAACTTGAACCTGTTATATAAAATAATAATCACATCAGAAATTTGGACAGTTTAAATATGTATTTTTGTTTTGTACTCGTGTGTCAGTGGATTATTTTTCGGACTTTGAGCGTGTTGCTTGTGTGACAGACAGATAACGAGAGTAGTTATAGTCAAACCCCGGATGAACTTGTGAAAAACATGCTGCTTTTGTAGAGAGGAGCAAATCTAACAAACATAATCCTTGGAGAGAGGAGTAAAGCTAAGAAGCATAATACCATGCATCTGTACCTTGCCACTGGATATATTGTAAAGAGGGAAGCCCCGACTGCGAGAACGACATTCACATGCTTATGTAAATCTACATAAAGAAGGAGGTAAATTTTCCTACAAATATTTAAGGATTATTAGGCTTTGTATTGAAGAAGTCCTTTACAATTAAACCCAGTAATCAGGGAAGCTTTAGAGAATATTAACCTCAAAATGTGCAAAACAAACAAAAAAGAGAATGACACCTCACCTCATCTCTCAGCATGTTGGAGAGGAAGTTCATCATGACGCTATGTTTGCGAGGATATTTATGACACAGTGCACTGATCGCTTCAACCACAACAACCTAAACAGCAAATGTATAACAAATATGATTAATTCTCTCAACAGTATCTCTAATTTTTAATCCAACCTTTTATTTGGTTTTACAAGCAATTCTTTATTTTTTTAAAAAATACATAAAAAAACTCTACTCTGAATTTTACAAGCTGTGACAGTTCCCTGCTCAAGGACAAGAGTTCAGAATTATAGTTGGAACAAAAATGGCTAAAAAAAAAAATCACATTTCAAACATAGCAGATGAATTGAAGTTAAGTGTACATTACTGCTATAGAACATTCCTCTGGTGGCACAACACAGAATTAGGGCTTCTGATTTTCAGGATTAACTGGAAAAACCCTGATAAAACATCCCCGATTGGTGTTTGTCTAATAAACACTGCAAAACCACCGTAAATAGTTAAACGTGCTAACGCGCACTGCATATGCGTGAGGGCGTCTCTCTCCCCTGTGTGTGTGCAGGTGCATCTGAATCTTCCATTAAAAGTGACCCCCCCACCCTCCTCAACAACAACAAGATTCCATTTATTGAGCGCCTTTCACGTCGGGAGGACGTCCTCCCCCCAAAAAGGATTAAGAACTCAAAATAATGCGTAACATGGTTCACAAATAAACCACCCAAAATAATTTTTTTTTAAACCCTGAAAACATAAGCCCTATTTATACATACAATTCTTTACAGGCTATCTCATTTACCCTTCCTGATAAACTGTTCCAGCTGTTTAAAGAACTGGATGGGAAAACAAACGTGAAAAGGAACCACTTTATTTACGCTCTCTAGAGGTTCTGCTGGATAAGAGTCGCCAAGAGATTTACCTTAAACTCATCAGAGATTTCCGAAACAAAGGAGGAAATCTGCTTCATGAGCCGGTCCACACTGCTTTCACTTCCAGTTTTCAACAGTGTGGTGATAGCAAGCGTGGCAATGCTGCGATTCGAGTCTGTGATCAGATTCTCCAGATCCAGGTTACAAGCAGTGACTGCAGACGGATGCTTCATTGCAACCTTTGGGGGAAGGAAAAGAAAATACACACGGGGTATTACAGAGCGGTTTGTGAATATTACCTGATGATTCCCATTAGGAAACAAGACCATTGCTTTTTGAATCAATGGATAGTTATTTTGATAACGGTTACTTCCAAGCAATAATTTCACTGTGTTAAAATTAAAACATTTCCAGGTTTCAGATTTTTGTACAGCAACACTTTTCCCTTTTCCCAACACCCTCCATATAACAGACTATTCTCACCCACAAAGGTAGGCAAATGACCCTGCTCTTAGCTCACAATTAATGGTGGTTTGTAACAAGCCATTAGATGGAAACATGAGCAATTCTCTCTCTTGTCCTCTGGCTATCTTTCATGCTAGTTGCAGAAGCAGCGCTAAGAGCAACGGTGAGTGACTAATGAACTTGGGGTAATTGCATACTCCGTATAATTGCATGGCCTCTGTGCCGTCCCGACTCCATGCAATTCTATGGAGCGTACTGTATTTTAAAAGTAAAATGAGCAAATTAGGGCACGATCGTCACATCAAACATTAGTCATTCATTCACTTCATGGCTGTTTGTGGGACATTGCTGTACGTAAACTGCTGTGCTTTCGCCTGCATAATAATCACTAGACTTTACATCCATTGAAAAGATTTGAGGCAGCTTCCTGATGTAAAAAGAGCTGTATCTATTGCAAAAATTATCTTCATGATCACCATCAATAAAGACATCGCCATCATGAAGATATTACTGTTCTGTAACGACAATGCATTTTTAACTGGAAAGCACCATACAGACACTAGACTTACTTTATTGAGGGTTCTGACAGCAGCAAATCTCAGGGCTGGTTTAGACGAGCTACAGAAAAGTTGGAGCACTGAGAAGTAATAAGAAAAGTTATCTTAAATGATAATTTATACAGAGAAAAAGGCATTAACAAAGATCAGTTTAAAATATTATTTGCATGTAGAAAATAAAACACACGGCCTTTCAAACCGTTTCCTTACAAAGGAGCCTGTAAGAGTTGCACTATTAGCCAAAAAGCTATCTACTTCCTCATGATCATCTTTTCTCCCTCCTCTCTTAGTTCTAAAGGCACCAGTGGAGCGGCACTTCTGTATCTTGTTCAAACCACTAATCTTCAATAAACTAATCCTAAACGTGGCGGTGGGGGGGGGGATTCCATTATGAGCAGCAGCATATTGGGGTGGGGCACATACGACACATATAGAGGATGAACCCACTCCAGCCAACAGGCACATGCACTCTTTCTGGCAATGGTAACTGGATAGCGAGCAGAATCTAAGGATGGCTAAGCCAATTCAATGTCTCACTGCCACGCTTGCCTGTTAGTCAATTTGGGGGCAGACCAGGGATTGAAGCTGGGACTTTGTTGATCTGCACAGCTAAGAAAACACAGGGCACAGTTTACCATCTTAGCCATCGGGGGCAAAAATAATTTGTAAATTTATTTCACTTAAGGTTTTAAAAAATTTTAAGCAACGGATTAATGAATCAGGCATTTTTGCTGTAATCAGATGTTTTTTCCCCTCACTATGTATTTCTGATTATAAAACCATCACATGTGATCCTGGAAGATAAGAGTCTAAGGTTATATAAACACTTACCCGAGACAGCTGGTGCCAATTCCCTTGCAGTGCAGTTAGGGAGGTGGACAATAGCCGATGCTGATTCATAGACAACCATCTCATGCTTGTTGCGTAAGCAACTTTCGATGAAATCGAATAAGGGACTATCATGCCTATTCGATCATAAAAATTCCCGAGTCAGCAACAGATTATTAACAGGGAAACAATAATAATAGATATCTTGGACTTATCAAAGAGCAGCAATTTATTGGGGCCAGGGACATTGGGTCACTCAATCCATGACTGTTTGTTACACTGCTGTGTGTAACTGGCTGCCCAAAAATACAGTCAATCCACTTTACAATATATCCTATGAAGCGGTTTGAGGCATCTCAATGACGCTATATCAAATGTTTTAAGGATTATTATTAATGTTTTTAAGTGACTGGCAGTTATAGTATAATAATATTATCTGATGATCCAGTTACAATTTGACTGGATGTTTGGAGATGAACAATCATTCTCAAAACTGGTTAACTGTTTTCAAAATGTTTGTTTGTGTGTGTGCGTATTTTTTTCCTTTCAATGTAATTAGCTTAACATGTTACACAAAATGGCTTGGCGTGTAAAGAGGAGATGAAACAAAAGAAACAGAGAAGTGTACAACTTACCCACTCTCTGACTCCTCCAGGAGCCTACTTGCAATGCGAATCAACATGCAATATGCAAACGGCGACTTCAGACCAGACTTTGTAAATTTGTTGACCATCTTTGTGACAGCTAAACGGTCAGCCTTCCGAATTCGATACAAAAGGCCTAAAGCATGGTACTGTAACAGAAGAAAACATCAGCGGTTTAGGACGCCTTATTGTGGAAACGCTAAACTGCCTTGCAAATCAGTTCCGAGACATATAACACGGGATAACATGCCTTCATTGCCTTGAAGCATTCATTGCAGTTTTGCAGTGAGAGTTACTGTTTGAGAATATAAAATTAAAATAAAAGGGAAAGGAATATAACAATAATCCTTGCATTTGATATAGCGCTTTTCACGTCTTCTAGACGTCTCAAAAGCGCTTCACAGAATACACTGTAAAGTGAATTAACTGTATATTTTGTGGATGCAACGCGGCAGCCAATTGCACACAGCAATCGTGGATTGAGTGACCAAATTATTATTGTTTTTTTTGCTTGAGGGATTATTATCAGGCATGTGGAGGAAGGAAACTTGCCCAAGGTTTCGCCCTGCCGGCGATGCAATATTCCAATGCATCTGAAATACAGTACAAAAATGAAAAACAATATGGTATTAAACTATTAATAGTCTCTTCCACAGCTGGTGAGAAGGCAAAAAAAAATGTCCTTTAACACGAAACTTCCAGGAGAGGGAGAGCTTCCCAATGTTCTTTGTTTCGTCCTAGCGTCAAGGGACATCCTCCCAACATGAAAGGCGCTATGCAAATGTAATGTTTTGTTGTTGTTTTGAGCAAGAAGTGTTTGCTGTACTTGGGAGATAAAACATAAGGAACCTTAAAACACTTAAATTTTCTCCACATCAATCTGAGACTTGGGAGCTTGGAATCTCTAATTGTGATGTTATACTGTTTAGAACTGGTAGCTAGAGATGACTGAGAACAGAAGTGCTGTTTACAATCTCAATGATTTGACATATTGAATGGATACGGCCAACTGCAAAGAGCATACAGGTCCTAGTATACAGCCCCCCTATTCCCATGGCAACTAAACTGATAGCGGGTTAAAGTTAAAAACAAGGCGGCACAGAGAGCACAAGGATTTTGTGACATTTAGTGGAACAGCACTTTTTAATAATTCTAAGTTAATTTGACTGCAATGCTAAATTGCGGAAACGTTAGGTTTTAAGCAGCTTACCTGCACCATGATGTTGTCACTTGAGGCAGCTTCCTGAGCCTCATTTACCCAGCGTTTCACAATATCATAACTTGTGGAGACAAGGTGCTGAAAAACAGTTAAAATCTTCAATAGCAAACCAGGACACTTCAGACGAAAAGATCATCATCAATTCAGAGAGGATACTTTGCCCCCAATTAAATACCAAATATTTTCATTAGAAGCCCAGAAAGTTTGGGCATATTTTGTTTGCAATAGTGTCAGAAATGACAATTTGTTTTTTAAATTATGATAAATTAGCATTTCAAGCACTCTTACCATAGAGGAGACCAAGGCAGAGCTGGATACACTTGGAACTTTATCCACAATTGCTTGCTTCATGTAGCGTTCAATACCCTGCAGCATTGTCATCTATCAAAGAAACCAAAACACTCTTGCTTCAACATTATGCTCATCGTTATTATTATTAGCCGCGTTTTCGCCCAAAAAATACATCGGCAATGCAGCATACAATATATTCTGTGAAGAGCTTTGAGACGTTTCAACGACGTGATAAGACACTGTATCAAATGCAATAATTATTATTATTATTTCCCGTGTTATAGGAATCACCCACATTGGATGATTTGTCTGCTATCTAACAGTACTCTTGACAGAGCAACATAAAGTCAAGCGACACACAGTTAAATCACTCAAACCTGCATCCATCTGATCAGAAGGAAGGAACTTTACTGATGGACCAACCTTCCTATTATATCAATTGATAAACCCTTCTACTCTTTAACAATACTTTTGAGAAGCAGTCCTTTTCACAATTAGATAACGAATCCAATAGTAAAATTCTACGCATATACAGGATTTTCTTGACCCACTCTCCAGGAGACAAAATCATTTTAGCAGATGAGCATTGTCACCAAAATACCCATTTGTTAATCTCCCCCCTCCTCGCAACACCCCCCCCCAACCCCAACCCACCATACTTACATCTGTAATACGGCAGAGCGCCCTCACAGCTGGACCTCTGTAAACATCATCCTTCCCAGTCATGTCCTTGGTCAAACTGGAATACAATGTCAAATAGCAACCAAATTAAATTAAATGCACATTGGTTACAATTACATTAAGTGCTTAATCCTGACATGGATGCTTGAAAATAGGGACATTTTCCATTTTCAACATTAATACACGTTGATCGAGACAAACTACAAAAACATGTGAGAAAGATTACCACCTGTATTTATTACTTTTGTAGATTTTCATAAGTTTTCAAACTGGGGGTGCCCGAGGTTACTGGGTAAAACGTTTTCTGTTTAACAGCATTTTGCCCAAATCAGGGGAGAAAAAGAAGCTGAGTGTGAGGAGATATTGGGCCTTGCAAACACTGGTTGCTTACCAGCCCAGGGACAAGAGACCAAGGGGGAGACAAGCCCATACCTGTTGAGGAGCGCATTAACATGAGTGCATGTTCCAGAAGGGCGATGGTGCACGTGGGACATTAATGTACGTAGGATGCATCGCAAAAATGTTTGGGAACACAGCTGTAGATTAATGTAAAGAATGTATAATTCCCTGGCGATTTCCCTACGCTCTAAATATTCTCTCTGTACCTCATCCCTTAAAAGGACCAATCTTTCCTTCAAATATCATATCTTATACCTTTACTGCTCACAAATGACTCTTTTCCGAACATTTATCCTTTCTCTTTTGTGTTACAAAAAAAATTCAGATTATCCTTCAATCTGATTTCTCTATTTAGCCTTGTTTAAATTTAATTTCTCCTTTTATCTTGAACACCAGCCTGTACTTCTGATCAGCCTGAGTTCTCAACTTATTCTTAATAACCAAAATATTGCCAACGAATTTACCAAGGCTAAATGTACTTCTGTGCCCTTACCTGCTTGTGACTATGATTACATCTTCTGAAATGTTAGCCATCTCTTTAATTGTTAAGTAACACATTCTTCTGAGGATTTGCTGTAGGCAGACAAAAATATTAAAAGTAAATTATCTTTCAGGTCTTAAATATCACATTTAAGTTAGGAACAAATAAGAGAAAAATATTAAGAAAAAAAATGATTGCGGGCGTATCATCCACAAAATATAGTCACTCCACTTTACAGTATATTCTGTGAAGTCTTTTGAGACATCTTGAAGACGTGATAAGGCGCTATGTCAAATGCAAGGATTATTATTATTTCCTTGCCACTTTAGAATCTATAATTGAGGCAAGTCTTGTATTAATGTTCATTGCTTGTTCCTTCAAGAACTGAAACATTGACATTTTCTTTCTAAAAATTCAATTTAGAACACTTACATCATTGCACTGAAACAGCTTAGTCATTGCAAAGAACGCCTCAGTGGCTTCCGTGGTTCCAAAATGTTCACCCTTAGTGGAGAGAGAAGAGACAAGTAAGATCAAATATGTACTTGGAACGATTTGAGAAACTTTAGTTACATTAAACATATTGGAAGGATGGAAATCAGTTTTCCCTCAATATGCTTGTGCTTCAGATAAAGGTAGATTAATTATGCTCATCTGCAGTATTCCTAGTTCAAGTATTACACTTTTCAGTCAGACAATTTAATGAAGAAATCACAGCTCATGCACCACTTTACCATATAGCTTAGTTAAAATTGGTGAGACATTTAGAGATGCGATGTAAGCTGTTTTCAAAAATCTGATTTTTTTTCTGGTCAGTTTTGTACAATAGTGAATCAAACTTTATCAGAGTTACCTGGTTCAGCAGGTACAGAATCTTCGTAAGGATATGCAGACATTTTCTGGGGTTCAGTGGTGTTTCATTAAATACACGGGCCTACGAACAACAGGAAAGGTTTGTTAGTGATGTACAGTTGAACACTCATTTTAAAAGTTTGCAACAATGGTTATGCTCCAATTGGGGTATTTATAGACACTTATTTTATATTTTATCATTTGTGCACTCATTCATTCTAAAACAACAACAAAATGACATTTGTATAGCAGCTTTCACGTCTGGAGGGCGTCCCAAGGCGCTGGACAAACAGAGTTACGGATTCCACAAAAAATGCTATATCAAATGCAAGGATTATTATTATTATGAATCTGGTACACTTAATTAGTGTCCAGAGCAATAAAGCACCGTCTTCCTCAGCTATGGGGATGGTAGACCCGTCAATTTCACATGCCTTAATTTTAGCCCAGTTAAATCATGTTCATTGAATACTCATTTTGATAGCAAAAATTATTCCATAAACTGAACTATCCATATAACTGGACTAAACATAAAAGGAGACTGATCTCCCAGAGCTCGATCTACGTAGCCATCAATTCTCGCAAAGTTTACCACCACATAACTTTGAAGGTTAAAGAAATAACACGGAGATCAAAGACTTGCCTCTTGGAGGACTGTACTCTTCTCCAGCTGTTGGTAAGGGTTGGAACCACTTCCTGAAACGAATACAAAGTTAAGAGGCTAGTTATGATGGCTGTGGTAGACTGCAAGTTTGCTTGCAGAACAATGCTAACCATATGATTTTATGTCCGGATACAATACGTCTCAAAGCTCACTGCTGGATGAGCACTCGAAGGGTGGTTGGGGGGGGGGGGAAGGGAAGCAGAAAGATGACCGAAAGCGCAGATGAAGAGCGACATCTTGAAGTGAGCCTTGAACGAGGGGAGAGAGAGGGAGTGAGTTGGAGGGACTCTGGGATGGAGTTCCAGAGAACGGGGGGGGGGTGGGGGGGGGGGCAGAACACTGATTTCAATTGACAAATTAGTCGTAACTTTAATTTCACATGAACTTTGGCTTGAGAACTGCGTAAATAGATTCCCTACGCTAAAAATTCCAGTCACCTCGCAAACGTTCGCCAGTTTATTTACTCGCCAGACGGCACAATGAATTGGTAGAGCACGGGATTAAATCCTACATTATTCTAATACTTCCCATTTCTGTCGCTGGGGTGGGGGAAAGGGGGGGGGAAGAGATATTTTGCGAAGGCCAAGCACCTCGCCACTTGAAGGGAAGGAAAGCCTAGTCATTTTCTTATGTACAGTACAACAATAACAAGTTCAATTCGGCGTGAACTTGCCCAATCTGGATACAGGTCATTGCCCCACAGACTCTTAACGGATGGTCACAGCAATGTTGAAGCAGCTTTGCGGGCAATAATTGCACAACTTGGCCTCCTTAAATTGAGGGCAGAGCAGAGAGAAAGAGAATAGTGAATGATAGAGAAAAGTGGGGCAGCTCGATGAGTGGGGGAGGCGGGAGCGGGGGTGAGAGGAGCGGGGGGGGGGTGAGAGGGGCAAGGGCGGTGTGAGAGAGGGAGGGGGGAGCGGGGGTGAGAGGAGCGGGGGGGGGGGGGGGGGGGTGAGAGGGGGAGGGGCAGAGAAAAGCACACGGATCGATAGATAAATTCCCTAAGTAAGAATTGGGTCAGTCACTCCGCGATTGTTTGTTTGCGAGGACACACGGCTGCGCACGAGCAAACCGACTGCCCGCAGAAACAGTCACTACGCTCCCGGAGCGGATATCAACACCGATCTTCGCCACCGACACAGCGCCGTAACAGGTTCCCCCCCCCCCCGAGCCGCCGCGAAGCGCTCCGCGGAAAAGACGCCGCGAAGCGCTCCGCGGAAAAGACGCCGCGAAGCGCTCCGCGGAAAAGACGCCGCGAAGCGCTCCGCGGAAAAGACGCCGCGCAGCGGGCGAACGGGACCGCGGGCTTTGCGGGGCGGGACTTCACGGTACGGCCCTCGAAGACGCGGCGACGACGACGAGGCGAGACGCTGCGACAAGTGCAGAAGGGTCGCTACGACGACGATGATAATTATTATTATTATTACACGATTGCTATCATTATTATTATTATTATTACAGAAGAGGGCCCAGACAGGCGAGTGACTGACAGATCTGACAGCCCCTCATCCACATTATGCTTCTCCTCTTATTATTATTATAACAATCTTATAATAATTATAATAATACTATAATAATTATATTATGATTATTATTATTGAAGCGAGGACCAGGACATGGAGTGACTGACAACCCCTCTCTCTCTCTCTCTCTCTCTATATATATACATATACACATCAAACAAACCTCCCCAGAAGGGCCTCAGTAACAATTACCGTAAAGTGAAAAGGGCCCCGAGCCGCCGCCTCCTCCTCCTCCGCCGCCGCCTCCTCCCTCCCGGGGACCTCCCGGGGCCTGGGTGAGGGGAGGCCTGCGGCCCATGGCCTGTCGCTCCGCCGTTAAATTCAGGGAAGAGCGAGGCCCCAAAAAGCGGCAGCGCCCGGAAGGACGGTTCGTAACCCCCGTCTCAGTCCCCCCCCACACACACACACGGCCACACACACACCCCCTCCCCCCCCCACTCACACCCCCTCCCCCCCACTCACACCCCCTCCCCCCCACTCACACCCCCTCCCACCACACCCCCCACTCACACCCCCTCCACCACACACACACCCCCTCTCCCCCCCACTCACACCCCCTCCACCACACACACACCCCTCTCCCCCCCACTCACACCCCCCACTCACACCCCCCCTCCCCCCCACTCACACCCCCCTCCCCCCCACTCACACCCCCTCTCCCCCCCACTCACACCCCCTCCACCACACACCCCCCCTCCCCCCCACTCACACCCCCTCTCCCCCCCACTCACACCCCCTCCACCACACACCCCCCCTCCCCCCCACTCACACCCCTCTCCCCCCCACTCACACCCCCTCCCCCACACACCCCCCTCCCCCCCACTCACACCCCCTCCCGCCGCCGCCAACACCCCGTTAATCCCTCCCCTCGGGCCCAGCGGGAGAAGGTGAAGGGGTTAACGAGCGTCACTGACCCAACTCCTCGTCTTTCTTGTCGAATTTCTTATTCATCTTCGCGCCGCCGGTTATCGAAATCAATCTCGTCCCCTCCGCCCCCGGAGTCACCCCCTCCCCCCACACCCACACACCCCCACCCCTCCCCCGGGCCCGGTCACCGGGGCAACGCGCTCGCTCCCGCCCTGAGTGATGGACCGAGCCCCGCCCACACACATGCGCACGCACATACACGCGCGCACACACACACGCACACGCACCGCACGGACTGCGTGACAGAGCCACGTACACCGGTGCCACTCCACGCGCTGAGTGACAGCCGCAGCCCCGCCCCCCCACACCGAGTGACGGGTAGAGCCCCGCCCCCCCACTGAGTGACAGATAGAGCCCCGCCCCCACATACTGAGTGACAGATAGAGCCCCGCCCCCACATACTGAGTGACAGATAGAGCCCCGCCCCCACACACTGAGTGACAGAGAGCCCCGCCCACACATATTGAGTGACAGCTATAGCCCCGCCCCACATATAGAGTGACAGCTATAGCCCCGCCCCCACACATTGAGTGACAGCTATAGCCCCGCCCGCACACATTGAGCGACAGCTGTAGCCCCGCCCCACACATTGAGTGACAGCTGTAGCCCCGCCCACACATTGAGTGACAGCTGTAGCCCCGCCCCACACATTGAGTGACAGCTGTAGCTCCGCCCCCACATATTGAGTGACAGCTGTAGCTCCGCCCCCACACATTGAGTGACAGCTGTAGCCCCGCCCCACACATTGAGTGACAGCTGGAGCTCCGCCCCCACATATTGAGTGACAGCTGTAGCTCCGCCCCACACAGTGTGTGACAGCTGCAGCCCCTCCCCCACATATTGAGTGACAGCTGTAGCCCCGCCCTAACAATAATAATAATAATAATCATCATCACGTCTTCCAGGCGTCTCAAAGCGCTTCACAGGACACACTGTACACTGAATTGACTGTATATTTTTTGTGTGTGACATTGCGCCCCACAGACAGACAGACAGACGTGGGTTTTGAGTGACCAAATTATTATTATCACTTTTATTTATTTTACATTTATTATTATTTATTATTTATTATTTATTATTTATTTTACGAAATAACACATCCACACCATGACCCGCTCTGCCTTCCCCCAACTCCGCGCTATGACCCGCTCTGCCTTCCCCCATCTCCACGCCATGGACCCCGGCTCCGACAGAGCAGAGTCCCACTCCCCAGGCCCTCCGCGGTCTCGCCTGCCCCCCCCCCCCCGACCTCTCCGACCTCCTAACCCCCTACCACCCTGTTCGCTCCCTCCGTGCTGCGGGCTCCGGGGCTGCTCCACGCCCCCCCCCCCCCCCGCCTCGCTCGCCCCAACAGAGGCGCGTGGAGTAAGGAAACTCGCCCCAACGTTTCGCCCCGCCCCGCCCCGGGGGATCGAACCCTGGCCCTCTCGCTGGCGAGGCGGGCGCTCTACCCACTGAGCCACGGGATCGTCCCAAAGCCGGGAAACCGGAGAGTGCATTAAAGTCTAATGACACGGCCATCGGGTCCCATCGGGACAGATCAGCCGTGAGCTAATAGAACGGCGGCACCGGTTCGAGGAGCTGAACGGCCGACTCCTGGTTCTCTGTTCCTGCCCCCGGTGACTGGTCTGTCTGCCCCTCCCAAGTAATAATATCATAATAATCATAATAATCCTCGCATTTTGATACAGCGCTTTTCCCGTCGGGAGGACGTCCCAAAGCGCTTCACAGAACACACTGTAAAGTGAATTGACTGTATATTTGTGGGCGAACGCGGCAGCCAATTGCGCACAGCAATGTCCCACAAACAGCCGTAGATTGAAAATGCCCGATTTATTATTGGTTTGTTTTTTTTTGGAGGGATTATTATTAGGCTGCGTGTGGAGTAAGGAAACTTGCCCAAGGTTTCGCCCTGACCTGCCGGGAATTGAACTCGGGTCTCTCGCTCGCAAAGCGAGTGCTCTAACCACTGAGCTACAGGACTCCACAAGTCGAGAGGGTGGACTCGATTCCGACATCCTGTTGTCAAGCATTTCGCCTTGGAGCCAGTTCCAGCTCCGAGGAGGCCTCCGATTATCTCGCCCGGTCCATCAGGAGAGTCGTTTATTGCCGCGGACGATTGTTACAAAATCTATAAGAGTGAATGGGGTGACCCATGGAACATGAGAGATAGTTGTCAATAAGTCACCAGCGATCCAACTGTACACTTGATGGCAGCAGAGAATAAGCTGAGATTGGGAAAACTTGTCCAAAACAAACACAGTGTCCCGAAACAAGTTCTAAAATCTAATGCAGTCCTGTCTCATTTTCTTTCACGTTGTTCTCTTCTCAGTGGTCTTCGGCGGCTGGAATTTTCACACCAATTTAACTTTCTATTTATTTTCAGAGTCTGACAGTTTGCTTACAAGCGGAAGCCCTTACTTACGTGTGCTGCGTTTTGTCAAACGGCTTAAAATTCTCTGGATCTTACATAACAGTGCATTTTAATAAGATTCGCATTTGATGCGGTGTCTCATCGCCTCAAGTAATCTCAAAGAGCTCCACACAATCGCTTTGAAAAGCACGGGGTTTTTGTTTGAATGGCGGTGAACATGGCAGGTAATCTGCGTTTGCAAGTTTCACCCACAGCAATGAGATAAATGACTAAATATGATGTATTGGTGAATATGGATGAGCAGAGTGACTGACCCATGCGGAAACCCATCGCCGTGCTTGAGAGTATGCAAATCAAACTGAGAATTGCATGCGTCCCACCTCCACGTGGAAATCCCAGACATAGACTGTCGGAATGGAATGCGTTCCCTCTCTCTCTCCCCGGAGGGACTCATCCCGCTTACCTAATTCCGGAAAGTATTAGGCGCAGGTTGGCGAGAGCCAAGGCTCGGGGACTCCAGAGTGAGCGCTGGGGTCACTGCTGGGGTCTAACCAGCTAAAACCGCATCACTTGCCATAGATAAAGCTGTCTGGGACACCACGCTGCTCTCTGGAGGAAAATAATCCTCGCAATTGTTATAACCTCTCATCACGTGGCTGAGACGTCTGAAAGTGCTTCGCGGAATATACTGTAAAGTGACTGTATATTTTGTGGGCGAAGTGCGGCAGCCAATTGTGCACAGCAGTGTCCCACAAACAGACATGGATTGAATGACCAAATTATTATTTATTTATTTATTTAAAGGGATTATTACCTTCAGAAAGTGATCCACCAATTGACTAACAACCAGGTTCCTACTTACCGCTTGGCAAACAGAGGTGTGTGGAGTAAGGACTTGCCTAAGATTTCTCCGGGTCCGGGAATCAAACCTGGGTCCCTCGCTTGCGAGGCGAGGGCTTTGTTTTCATCCTCAGAACCCTCCAATCACTGTTGTAATTGCATATATAAAATGACCTGCTTAGTGCCAGGTGGTTATGTCCGTTTTGTTTTAATAATTGGCGTTTGCTTATTTGCTTACTTTGAGCAAGCGTTTCAGTGTTCCATTAAAAAAATAAGTGTGGGAACTTCAGCTACGGGTAAACATGGCTGTCACTCATCTTTTATTGTTTTATTTTACGTTTATGCTTCCATCGCTACTGGCGCGCTGAAAAATAAAATAACCATTTTCCTTTAAAATGCATATGAACTCAAATTACGTATCTCTCTGTGAGGCATTCGTTAAGAGAGTATTATGTCAAGCCTGGCTCAGTTGGCAAGCACTCTAGCCTCTGAGTCAGAAGATTGTGGGTTGAAGCAGCCCAATGTCAGCATTGGAACTCAAAACACTCTAACACTGCAGAGCTGGGGGGATGTTGCATTGTTGGAGGTGACGGCCTTTGGATGAGACGTCAAACCGTGGCCCTATCTGCCTGCTTAGGTGGACGTTCAAGATCCCAAGGCACTCTTGGTATTCTATAATAATAATAGTAATAATAATAATATGTTCTGGCCAACATCCCCCCCCCCCCCCCCCAAATAAAATTGGTCGTTCACTTCATGGCTGTCTGCTATTCATTGCTGTGCACAAATTGGCTACCTTATTTGCCTACGAAATACATAGCAATAATAATAATAATAAGAAGAATCTTTACATTTGATAGCACCGTATCGCAGCAAAATATCTCGCAGCACTTCAGAACTTCAGAGACATTTTTATAACACGTAGTGACTGTAATTGTAAGCAAAAGCAGAAGCCAATTTGCACACAACAATGTCTCACAAACCACCACTACCGCTCCTCTCAGGCCACTGAAACCCTTAAACCCCACATCCATGCCTTGGGGTTTAAGCCCACCTCTGCAAAATTGTCCACCTCCGCCATTATCTCTCCCCTTGGGTAGTTTGACTGCTCCACTAACTGACAGTCAGGCCTTCAGCCTTTCTGCCTTCACTCTTTGGAACTCCATCCCAGAGTCCCTTCCCCTCACTCCTTCCCTCACTTACTTCAAGGTTCGTCTCACGACGTTCCTCTTTCAATGCGCCTTCAGTCATGTTCCCACCTCACACCCTTGGCCCCCATCCCTCCTGAATCCGACCCTCAACTCGGGTGAAAACCCTCGACTGTCCAGTGCCTTGGAACATCCTCCCGTTGTGAAAGACGCTATACAAATGCAATTTGTTGTTGTTGTTGGCTAAATCACAAAGACCTGTTTCACCTATATCATTTATGCCTTTCATCACGTTAAAGACTCGGTGACATAAGAATGGAGGAAACCAAAGTTTTTGAATGAGCGCCATTACAGAAGAATACTTTCCCATTAAGCATACATGAGGGAGAAGGGATATGGGAAATGGGGTTAGGAGAGATGGAGGCTCAGGTGGACTATAATAATAATAATAATAATAATCCTTGTATTTAATATAGCGCCTTATGTCGTTGAGATGTCCCAAAGCGCTTCACAGAATATACTGTAAAGTGAATTGATTGCGGGCGAAATGTGTCAGTAAATTGTGCACAACAGCGTTCACAAAAAGTCATGGATTGAGTGACCAAATTATTTTCATTCAATGTAAGTCTTCAGAATGTCCTTTATAGATTCAGCTGATCTTTGAATGCTGCTGAGTGTCTTCAGAGTGCTCCTTCAATTCTCTATATTTATAAGTGAGGTAGAGAATAGTTCTTGCCCAGAGGTTATGCCATGAGTA